AAGAAGTTCACGTGGATGAATGAAAGATTAACACGAGAGGTCAAGTTGGGGATAATTTACAGAGCAATCAACAGTATAGTTCTTGGAATTAGTTTACGTATAATATCCGTCTTTAGTGTCACCTCTGCGCTGTTTCCTAATGTCCGTCGATGTTCGAGTATTTGTTGATCATGTTTTCAAGATAATTGCACGAGCATGAGATAAATCAAGCGTGTTACATGTGAATAATAATAATAATGAAAGAGAACTGAAGACAAAGTCTATAATATAGACTGATTATTGAAAAATTTTAGATCTTTTAAATTTCCTGTAGAATTTCCTTAAGAAATTCTTTTATAAATTCCCCATTATGATGTTATTAACAATAATAACCAATAATTCTGTTCTGTTTGTCCTTATAAAACGAGAAATAAATCAGCTAAAACACAGTTGATACCTTCACTAATTACAATTGACCACTCACTCAGCAAAGAATGCTTATGAAGTAATTTTAATCTGCTTAGTGATGCAAAAATGCATGGAATGACGCTCGCAGGTTCGATCATCTCAGTTGTGCGGCAGAATAACTGCGAGTCATCCCATATCATGGCAGGAGAATAAAGTATAATATGTCTTATAAAATAAACTGCCTAATGACGAAAGAAAAACCGTATTGCCTTTAAAGGGGAAATTTTATAATTGCGTGGAAATGAAAGAAGTCGAAGATTAAACATTATCTCATTGGCATTGTTTGACCTTTTGTGGAAAGCTCACCATCGGTGATGATGAGAAATGAATTGCAACCCTTTTCCTCTCTGGGATGGAAGAGTGAGTGAGATGAGAGAAAGAAAAAAAATCATAAAATAGTACTGTTACAATTCACCAAGTGTGTTCTCTATGCCATATTTTCTTTAATCTTGTTATATCTATGAGCAAGACGATCTAATTAGACAAGCTGTGTTAATAGTAAGAAAAAATACACAATTATATTTGTACAATATATAACACAATACGCGCGCAATCTCATAATTAGCTCATCACACACGCACTCGCTGAAAAATATGTGCAGCGTCTCAAGCATGGCGAAGGAATGGCATTAGGAAGCACTTGATGTGACTCTCAAAAATCATCTGCAATTGATTTTACCGTAATTTCCTTGTGCAAAATTGACAAACGTAAATTAGGATGATGACTTTAAGCTTGTGCATAATCCGATAAATTCACTCGATCAGGTGCTGTTCATGCCAATTCGTTGATCTTCTCTCCGCTATAACACTTGCCAATTTTACCACGAAAAAGTATCCCACCATCTCAATATATCAGAATTAATGCCGTCCTGTGAGTGGAAATATTTTTGCTTTTGCACGTTTCTTGTGTGGCACTCCTTCATTTTCTTGCTCACTTAAAAATTTCAATGCGTGCCTTCGAAAACGGGAACAGCATCATCAAAATATATACACAGAGAGGAAAAACATTTAAGCAGCGCGCGCGTAAAAAAAGGTGAGCAATATACGACGACGACGACGAAGAGACTCCTCAACCGCACATTTAACATTATATTTCAAGGTTATAGTCACTTACCTTTGCGCCGAGAGACTTAAAAGGTGATTTATTTTCGATTTATTAACACATATCGCGAGTGTATCAGTTCGTCTGACACAGCACAGCGTCTTTCTTATGCTCTCGCCCTCATTGTCTTCCTGGCCACTAGCCAATGATCTCATGACTCGCTTCTCCGCTTCTTTCTCCTCCTGGCACTATTTTCAATTTCAATTTTGACGCTCGCGAATAAAATATCCACGCCAGAGCGAAAATTGTCCCCGCGCGCGCGCGCGCTCGGATCACTCAAAAGCTAACAACAGTTATTTACACATTGAACAGTTTTTCATTCGCAACATCTCGTCAATTGAAAATCGCTCGACCATGAGTTTAGTCAACGTCGAAAAGTGTATATATGGATGGTATTTTAAATAACGCAATTTACATAAAGCATTGTAGTGGTGACTGTACTCGAAAACTGACCAAAATGTCTCTTTGTCTCGGCCACTTTTTTCGCGCGAAATAAATTCAGAATCGCGAGCAGAGAAGAGTCTTGAGCAATTGAGAAATATTTCACAATATGCCTAAATTAACACTCTATGCTCTCAGATAAGTCATTCCGTGTGCACGCGTCGCAGAATCTATGCTGGTGATGTGATATTGAGAAGATCATTAAGTGTATCTCTTATGCGATAATCTCCTTAATGAATTGAGAGATACCGTTTTCGTGATATCGCATAAGGAGTGGAGCGCGCGTGGTATGTTTTGAATTGAATTACTCTCTGGACTCTATGGTTGTTTGCCTATTTTCTGAAAAATTATTAAATACCTGTTACTGCACGCACGTGTAATTGAGGATGGACGGCAAAAAATGGCAAAGAGACTACTTTTCAATGCTCTCTCTCTAAGCCAAGGAATAAGAAGTGAATTTGGTAAAATCTCTCCCCGCACAAGAGAGAGACAATTATGGAAGTCAGCGGCAAAAAATCACCAGCTGAAATCCATTTATTCCCTAATGGAACTTTAATAATGCTGTGGCATTACGCTTAATGGCTGGAAATCTCTATGGAAAATTGTATTTGATTCTAAAAGTATCTCATTGAGAATCACTTTGAGAGGCGAAACAAGTGGATGTATTTTTCAATTTTCAATTCCGCACCGCAATTGCTAAAATAAATGACGAATACAATAGTGGCTGAGCAAATTGATGAAATTCAACTTCTATCTTTATATACTTCACACACACCTTATGTTTTTCTTCTCTTAACCATATCTTTTTGCGCGTCTCTTTTTCTATTTCTCCACAATAGCAGTGAACCGTGGGAGAAATAAATCAGTTGAAATAATTTTGCCGGCTCAAAAATAGGGGGAAAAAGACTCTCTTCGTGATGGTTGCGCTGAGGAACAAAACACCGAACAGGTGGTTTGTTCACCCTTTTCACAAGTCTCGTCAGACTAAACTGAAAAGCAGTTGAAGGTGGAGGAAAAAATCATTCCCACACAGGAGTGAATTGAGTGTCGTGAAATGAGGGAAACAGAGATTTGATGATGACAGGAACACTTTGCCAAAGGTGTGAAAATGGGAAAAGCCAAGAAGACATGCATAATAAATGGTAGAATTAATCCCAAAGCAAATGGTGCAATTAACATTGCAATTCTGCAAAGCATTCCAAGAACGGCATAAAATCTATCATGCAGTGAAAAAACACAAAACTCAACCTATTTATGGTCGGATAGTTTTTCATACGAAGAATTCCTTATTTCAGCGAAAATCTTAAATCAAAGATTTACACACTGAAGCAATCATGCAACACTGAGTTTGTCGAAGAAATTCGACAGATTCTTCGATATTATCTTGCAAGATCGTGAAGCTCATGTGAATAATTTAGAGAAAGAGAATATTTTATCCCATTCTGCGCGGTGATCTTTGGATGGGGTGAAAAAAAAAGACTGAAAATTGCACTCTCCTTTGACATCATGTGCACAATTTCTTGTCGGTTGATTTAGTATAACACGTTATTTATGAAGGCACAGCAACTTCAATCGCCAACCATCAACAATCCAACTCGCTCGAGGAGGAGGAGGAGAGAAAAAAAGCGCCGCAGAGTGAGATAGAAAAAGCAGAGTATTATAAAATTGCTATTACATCTTATATACATATGCAACATTGTGTGGTTCATGTTTCCCGTGATCTTGGCATTGGCTTTTTTCCCCGCGCCGCTCTTTTGCTATTGCACTTTAAACGCCATTAAAGCCACACAACCACAGGCCATCCGAGTCTCTCTAATGTGTTTATATATTGATGCCTTTTTTCCCTCTCTCTCTATATCTTGAGCAGTTTCCAGCGCTTAGATCGAAGAGCGATTGGAGTGCGGAGAGAAGGGAAACAGCGAGACACGACTATCACCGAAATGATCATTGAAGATCATTATCATCATCATCGACGGTGTATTCTGCTCTCGAGAGTTCTTTTCCTCGCTCGATGATCGCGAAAAAAGCATTCAACTCTGCGCGAGTTCTTCTCTCTCTCTCTCTCTCTCTCTCTCTCTCTCTCTCTCTCATGAGAAGAAAAGGTCTTGTCTTGAGCGTTGGGGCTTCTCGCGAAGGCGAATGCGGCAGAAGAGACTCTCGAGACGTGCGCGCGCAGGAAAGGTGAAAAACAAAACGAAGGCACACAGAAAATCTTGAAAGTGCGTCTCTTTCCCGAAATGGGCAAAACCGGCCACTTTGCGCGCGAGATGAGCACAATTTGAGAGCCTTTTCTGCAAAGTTCCAGAGAACGTCCAGAGACTTTTATTGCGCTGCTATTTTTGGCCTGGATGAGATGTTAAAAGTCTTGAGAGAAGCCACATGGCGAGAGATGTTCGGCATCGGGAATCTGCAATGTTGATGAGAAACTGTTGAGTCACAGCGCCAAGTGTGTTGAATAATATAAAGCTGTAGGTAGGCATTTCCTCGCGGGTTCGCGGCGCGGAGGGGAGTGAAGGGCACCTTCAGCGCTAACCTAGGCCTTCACAGGCACCCAACCATCAAGAGCAAAAGCAAGAAGCCATGGGCATCGAACCACGAGAGCGACTTATGCTCAATACACAAACACTCCGAAGCGCGGTGCGCCTGTGGAGGTGCTCGGCAATTTACCTGGTCAAGTCGTCTTCCTGCCTGCCCCACAGCTCCCCGGGATGACGAGCAGAAGAGGAGGCACGATGATGGGAATATGTAGTGTAGTGGGGAAATAAAGCTACACAACAGCACATCCGAATGTGTACAATAGCTGTACATGGTGTTCTCCGCAACCGATCCGCAATGACTCGCCGCCCGACGCTCCAGGTCGGCAGAGAGGTAACGTTACCGCGCCTGTGTGTTGGACCCAACACAGGTAAGCGATCGCACTCACACTCGGCCGGCGAATCGCACTCGGGAATATCCACCATCCGTCCGAGAGTTAGCTGTAAAGTGCCTCGAAACACTGATCATGTACAGTAAGAGTCGGATCGTCGTGCAGTTCACGCGTGTTTCTGTCATTTGGCTCTTTCTCAGCCTTTGACTCTATTTTTGTGGTGTTTAACGGTAGATGGATTTTTGCCTTTCGGCCCCCAAAACAGTGTGGTTTCACAGAGAGGATTTAGCAGAAAACCCCCAAAAAAATAAAAGAAAAACTGTTGAATATCAACGTTCAGGACACATCAATTGATTGGAGAAGCAAAGTGTGTTGTGTGAAGATTGCGCGCAAGTCTCTTCAGGACTCTCTTGGGATACACAACATCTTGGACATGTTACAATCGGACATGTTAAAACTCAAACATCGACTGTGCCGGTTGGCAAAGTGATCAGTGTGAGAGAGAGAGACTATATCAATCGTGCAGATATTAAGACAAGAGTGTAGCAATTGCTCAAGATGCCGAAAATATTCTTGATCAAGAACCGCCTGCATCAGCAGCAGCTGCGACTGCTGGAGGCGCAGAACCTCCTCGCCGCCAAAGATGAGGATCGTCTTGGAGGCCTGGCCAGCGCCCACGGATCGGACTCCAGCGGCGGAGGCTGCGATGAGCCACTCTCGCTGGTGGCCAAGAAAAAGGATAACACAAATTCCGGTGAGTCTCGCAATTTTTTTCTGTATAAAACACAGAAGATTTCAATGCACCAAACGACGAACCCGCAGAGAAATCACACAGAATTGTTGCTTAAGATCGCTCAGATAGAATTCTGTATGGCAAATCTAGCGCACAGAGTAAATTATCTTTGTGACTTCACTTGAACTCAACACTGATTAGACTTGGTGGAGAGAACAAGAGAGTAAATTAGATCATATTTAATTCTGTTCTCAGTGCACCGCCTTTTAATTTGACGGCAAAAAAAGCTGCCAATTGTGAGATCAATCTGAGGTTCAGAATAGAATTGACACCTGTTTCGCGATAAAATTCAAGGTGAATTTGAATAAATATAAATCAATATATATTGGCTGGAATTTTTAATTGAGCCACGCTGCTGATATTGCGCAATTTCGTTCACTCCATGGCGGTGCTTTGCAATTCTCTCTGATGTGATTTACTCCACTGCACAAATATTGTTGATGTTGCTCGAGAGCACAGATGAAAGATGGTCTCTTCGTCAAGCAGATGACTGTGGAGAATTCTTCCGATACTCACTCTCGTGCCCTTTGATCTGTGCGCGTCGCACGAAGAAGAAGAAGTGTCTTGTGAAGTGATCATTTTCACACCATTTGCACGAACTCACGAGGCTTCGATCCTTGCGCTGTTGCGCGTGTTAAATGAATATTATCATGAACCTTTCATAAAATCGTTTAGAGCTAAAAATATATTCACATGGCTTTATATCTCATTAAACAATTAATCTTGACACAATTAACTGTTGTCAGTTGACAGTGAAGTTCACTGCTTGTGTTGTTGGATTAGAGGTGGTTTCTCTGTGTCTCTGTATGTTGTCGGTGTTTGTTGTACATTATAAAATGAAAATCACTTGCTCTCGGTCTACAATTCAAGTTCAACAAGTTGCACATTATGTTAATGGGAATATAAAATGAAAGAGAGACGAAAGAGAGAAAAAATACGCTTGAGCTCAAGCCACATTTTTATCGCAGGGGAGAAGAAGAGATAAAAAAAAGAAACTGTTGATGGAGGGAGTTTTAGAATTGGCAAAACTGCCCTTCAGGCCTGCTAAAATACTAGATAATCACAACGGTTGAGATTGCAACCGCTTTAATAAGCCCTCAAACTCCGAAACATTGGCGCACATCACAGATCCGTGGCAGGAATTTGGACGCACTCTGAACACTTTGCCAGAGGAAAAGCCGTGCATTCTCGAGATGAAGTAACATTTTTCACATCGATCAGTTGAACTCACACACCAGCAGAGGCCATCAAAAGAAAGAGAGAAGACGTGAATTGAGATCCACCTTCGTTTTTCTCAATCTCTGCCCTTGACAGTGAGTCCTGGCGTACAAATTGTGCAGGTAGATCCCTTTGTCTGCATCTCCTCGCCATGGGCTATTGAACAGCACATTGCCTCATCTTTCAGCATCTTCACAGCATTGTGGCAAAAATTCGGGCGGAGCCCTTCGAGTTGCTAGACAACATATTTTCTCGTCGTCCAAAAAGTTTGCGCACGGAATTCATTATCTGGTGGAGATTCTTCGTCGTGGTGGATCTAAATTGAGGAAGAGCATTAAGTAAATTTTCCTCCACCTCAATTTTGTGGGATTAGAGAAAGAGCGCGAAGCTCTTGAGATGGCTAGAAAATGGGTGAGAGAATGTTGAATTTATCAGATCAACCGAGAGTTCCTCGGAGAGATTAACTCCTTCGTGGTCTATTGATTCCCAAAGCTATTTCTCTTGAGCTGTGGAAGAGGTTTTTTGTTTTTGGAGTTGATTGAAATGTCTGGTTTCGCTGGAGAATTCAGAACATTTTGATGGGTTTCTGTGTAAAATTATTCCAGGAATTTGTGTCCATTTTTACATCCACAAATATTGTGTAATTTCTCCGCAAGTATTTAAGGAAAGTCACCTCGCAATGATGAATCACGGTTTCCAAGCCAATTTGTCGCCAACAATACACGCTTCTCGAGAACCTGTGGCAAAATGTCGTGTTCTTCCAGAACAAAATGTTAATTTTCTCCACTAGAATTCTTGCCATGGAAGATGAGCAAAAATTGTTGGGCAATTGAACGCTTATATACGGCAGTTAAGTGGCTAAACAGATGGTATAAACAAAGCAGAGAGATAACAATGGAAAGATGAAATCCACTTGGGGAAAAAAAGAGAAATTATATAATGAAAAATTATGAAGAGGAAAAAATTCACTTTTTTCTTCATCTCTCGCGCACTTCGGATTTCCGACATTTATCTCACCATGTGCGGGATTGGAAGAGAGAAGGAGTCACTTGTCTGTGAGACCTTAATTTTCCATCATTTCATTATGTGTATCGACATATCGTCGCAATCGCGCTATAATGAGAAAATCACGCTAACCCTGACCCAAAACCGAACGCGACGGCGCTATTGGAATGTATTCGTAGTAGAAAATCGGTGCCAAGACCAAGGCTGCAAATATAGCCAATGGAAATAGCATATCTGGCCATTTTTTCCCTCCCCATCTCAATCCGTAATTAATTTCACGGCATCGCCGCGACTCTCGGGCAGAATTATCCCACAAGTTATATAGCTTATTTGCTTGGAATTGTGAAACATCAATGGTGGCAAATTCATCACTCAAATGCGAATTGAAGTATTCTGAGCGCATGTGCACAATGTGGTGCAATAAATTATACCGTTTTGATGGGTAAACCGCGAAATTTGCAGCATTCCGCGTGCACCAGCGCAAATAGTCTCGATTTTTGTGTAAATAGGGCCTCTTAATTTAAGAGATTTGTCACATTGCATGAAAACAGTGAGGAAAAAGCCAGTGAGACGAAGAATATTTTAATGAGTTTCTCGATGAGCACCTCAAATGACCAATGCACTCTTGCCATGCATTTTAAGTGCACTAAAATGAGTGTGAGCCCAAGAGAAGATGAATAAGTTGTAAGGTGCAAAATGCCATTAACGCACACACACTCGCGCTCTCTCCCCTCATTTCTATTTGGTTTTATATGTAAAAATTTCATAACATCGAGAGAAGATATACACGGAGAAGTTGACCATTGGTGGCACTACAAATAATTATGAGCGAATTGCGTTAATTAACAATGGAATGTCAATTATTGGTCAACGAGACGAACATTACATTAAAATTGTTGTGTGTGAAGCCACATCAAACAAAGTGGAATAAGATGGTCATAATGTTGGGTAAATTGACATATAAATCAGAAAATTCCACACATCTCGCCTTTATGGAGTTATTAGGAGGACAATTGATACATCCTGTATTGCGATTGGAGGTAAAAAGGAGGAGATTTCAGAGCACAGAAAGAAATCCAACCTGAAAAACTTCAGTGTCAGGTTCAAGATGACTGGAAAAGACGTCTGTTGAATTGTGTTTCGCACTTCTTAGGAACGCACACGGTGTGAATAGACGGTTTTCCCAAGACAGAGAAGTTTCGTTAATTGTCTTCCTTAATGACTGGTGTTAAGTTCAAAAAATTCTCTTCACAGATAACACAAGATTGTGGCATTTTGTCTGCGAAATTGAAAGAAAAGTGCATGAGACAAATTGCCATCGACTAATGGAATAGAATTGACTGGCGGGCTTTTGTCTGGATGGTTGGAAATTTTCCCAGTAACGGATTTATTTACCTGGAAATCCAGACTCTTGCAGAAAAACCACCTTTTCGCATGAGAATTGAATAATTCATATTGGTAAAAAATCACGGCAACGGCAAAGAGTCGAGCAGAACAAATCTATTCTATAGAGTGGATAATGGGGCGTCATTAATGTGATTACTTTTGAAAATATAGTATATCAATAAAACATGGTGAAGTTCACCCATGAAAGCTTCTCACAATACTTTAACGATTGAGTCAATGCGACAAAGGCTGTAAATACTGGCAATCTAGGTCTTGAAGGCACTGAATTTCACAAGTTACAATGGTCAACATTGGACAATTTCACTGGGTAGATTCCATTGTGATTAATAACAAGGGGAAATTGATGATCTCAAGAGAGTGAGAGAGAGATGAGCACGGAGTGGTCAATCAATAAAATGTGTGTATTTTTCATTAATGCGCCAATATAAGCATTATGTCATGAGAAATATAGTGATATTCCGTGTTATTTTCCACCACGTACATTCCGCTGTCGATGTAGGTCATTAAGTCCGTGGCTGTATAGATAAACCTACATATTGGATGAGGTTTACACTCTACAATTCAAATAAGCCTTTTAGGAGTAATAATAGTACAAGTAGGGTGTTTCACAATCTGCAATAACAATTAACTAAACACTTTGCCATACGCAAATTACAATGGCGAGTCAATCATTCCAATTCATTTACGTACAATCTAACAGCGTACGCAGCTCTCAAAGAGTCCGCGCACGAGCTGTGCGGCATTAAGTCATCAAAAGGTCTGATGAAAAGGTGCAATTTGAAAACCAAATCAATCGCTGGCATTCTATTGCTGGTTCCGCGCACAAATGGGCGCGAGAGTGTAGGAAAATCTCCTGGAAGAAGAGAACTGATTGATCCACCAAAGCTATCCTGGCCTTTTGCGGATAAGAGCGCGAATTACAGGATCGTCTGCGAAGCAGTCTAAGCCCATATATAATTATGCGAGGGGAAAAAAAGCATGTAAATTGATGTATGAGTACAATGAGCCGCCAATTTGGCGATGGTGTGGTTGTCTTTAAATTAAATTTATGCAAATTGCCAATTTGACTATGCCCACAAATCGTGTGGCGAAAAAGAAATGATATAGTTGGCGCGATAAAAAAAGGTGAGCTTCTCAATCGGACAATTGAACGGAGCAACGGTGAAAAAAGTGTAACCTTCGCCAAGTCTTCAAAGTTCAATTAAATGATTCAAGGTTGAGACGCAACGAAAATACAGGCGTGTGCTGTGCCGGCATATGCAAACGAAGTGGCAGCAATTTTTGGGGACTCAATTCCACCATTTGGAGCAAATGACGTCAAACTGAAACGTCTTCCCAAATATATTGACTCTTCACGATGAGAACAAAGAGCGTCTTCTAACAGAAATAATTGCTCATGTCAGGCGGACAAATTAGAGAGATTCGAGACTTAAATATCTCCCACTTCTCGATTCACTTCACATGACAATTTTTAAGGGGATTTTCTTACCCAATTAATGGACAACTTGGCGTGTTTATGGAGATACACGCTACTTCTTCTCGCGGACTTTATTGGATTTTCGGCAAGACACTCTTTTTGCCCTCGTCACTCAAGAAAAACAACATATTTTTCAGCTGGAAAAAAGCTCTCGCAAGACAATCATCTAACGGGAAGATATTTTTGTCGATGAAACATCGCGCTTGACCTCCAGAGGGTTAATAATCTCATTTGGAAGTCAGCTTTGGACTTGACTTTGGAGGGACAAAAAGAATATTATAGCTTTATAAGCGCTTTTACCCAAAAATCTTCCGATCACGCTTAAGAAGCTTGCGATGTTGACATGAAATTGCGCAAAGTTGAATGGATGGCAAAGAGGAGAGAAGAATGTGGAATAAATGAAACTGAAGTGTTTTCTGCCTTAGAAAAACAAGTCTGATAAGATAAACACGAGGTGTTATGCCATTGAGATGCAAAAGTTATGCATTTATGGAACATATTTAGGAGTTCTTCCGAATGCAATTCGAACAACTACTCAGTATTACTATGTCAACGTGTCACGCGCAAAACTCTCGTGAGTTCACATCACGGGCATAAAATCTTGTGAATATTGCATGCCAAACGCACGATCGCAGAAGTCATTTGCAAAGCTAAACACGTTTTGTATCCATGAAATTGCTTCGGGATACAAAATCTGTGCCTCTAAAGAAATTGAGAGGATTGAAAGAGAGAAAATTGGAACTCCTTTTCTCTGTATAATTTGTTCTTATTTGAATTTCTCAGGTGACGGTGGAAAATTTCATGCGACATTTCTAGAGTAATCTAATTCCTACGTTTATTGGATATCTCACTGTGAATTATTCACGAATGTTTGTTTATCCTTATTCCACACTCTTCATACCCCAGCAGAATTGATTTTGGGAAAGTGGAAAAATTTTCACATGGTGAAATATTTGCATTTTAGCACGCGCCAATTTATCTCACTACAAATGTAAATCTCTCTCGCGGGCTCTTCCGAGATGATCAAACTATGTAGTCCCTCCACTCTGTGCCGAAATCCACACGTTTCATCGATAAATTCAAAAACAAACACTGCTAACTTCACTCCGCGGATAACCTCTGGCGGCCATATTGCCGTCCTGATCTGTCATTTTTCAAAGTTTGGCCGTAACGATTTAGTATTTGGGTTAGACTTAGAAAGTCTGGGAACATAACGGGTGGGGTTTGATCATCTCGGAAGAGGAGCTTCGTACAATTATGATAGAACTTCACTTGGTAAGTTCGTTTAATCATTAAATTGTACTATGCTCCTCTTCCTCGAGATCAAACTATGTAGATGTTTATAGCTCGTTACGGCTTTATATGTGAATGAACAAGTTTATTTCAGTTTATTTAAGAAATATGAAAATATTTCTCTTGAACCTGGGAGATCACCGTTATACATTTCACTTTCCATCTAAGATAGCTTTGGCAAATCTCTCCTTGTCTTGAGAAAGTGGCAAATTGTAAAAATTCGCAAATGTTTGCGATTTTTTGGACCACCCTGCTGTCTTCTTGATTATTTCAATGTCCACCCCACATCTTTTTGCAGCCGAAGTGGCTGCGTGTCGGGTAGAGTACCCAGAGAAAATTGTGGTGTCGATATTACATTTCTGTAAGATGTTTTTCACCCAATGACTCAATGTTTGAGCTCCAACAGCCTTGTGTGGTCTTTTAAAAGAAATAAAGAGATTTTTTACATCTCCGCGAATCAATTCAGTTTTCTGAATGTAAGCCTTCATGGCTGATGCTACACAAATACTTAAATCCTCATTGTAGCATGGCAACACAAGATTTGGTTGATGATCACTTGAACTTGAAGTTTTGATTCTACGGACAATTCTGATTTCAATACTGTCAGACAAAACTCTGATTTTATCTATTTCAATAAGCGAGAATGTCTGAAGTCGATGTCCTGTTACTAATGCTAACAAAATTATTAGTTTGTATGACAAATCTTTAAGAGAAAGATCAACATTGTGTGGCATTTGACGATAGAAATCCAACACAATTTGTGGATCCCACGTTATATCATATCTACGCTTATTCGGTCTTGCAATTCTCACACCCCGAAAAAATCTTTTCACATACTCATCTTGGGCTAAAGAATTTCCAGCTAGTAGCGCTACTGCTGATCTATATCCGTTGAGTGTCCCATATGGGGCTCCTTTACTGAATTCTTCACTCAAGAACTTCAAAACTTCTGGAACAACCGGATCAAATTGATTAATGTTGTGGGATGAACAAAAATTCCACCATTTCTTGAGGCCCACTTCGTACTGTTTCCATGATGAGTTTGTCAATGATGATAGAATGAGGTCATGAGATTGTTCTGGAATCCCTTTTAGTATGCAGCTCTCCCTGATATAATCGCGGCAACCAGGGTAATCTTTCTCCAGAAATTGGTTTCGCTGTCAATGGAAGAATGAATGTATGAATTAGCTGAGAAGTAGATTACTTCTGAAACAATCATTGATTGAAAAATTGGGTACCACGGCTGAGATGGCCAATTTGGGACAATCATGATTCTCTCGGCCTTTTCATACTGAATTTTCTGTAAGACTCGTAGAATTATTGAAAACGGCGGGAATGCATAGAAAAAATATGAATTCCAAGAGATTGTAAATGCGTCAATCGCGAAAGAATGTGGGTCTCTTTTCCACGAGACATATCTCCGACATTTTGCATTTGATCGCGAAGCAAAAAGATCTATCTGTGGAGATCCAAATTTCGTATTGTCAATACGAAGAAGAATTTGACTGTCTTTATAACCATCAGCAAAACATTTAAGTCCGAAAAAAGCGGCTGTGAGTTCTAGAAAGTTTATACTTAAATCTTTCTCTTCATCCTTCCATGAGCCCTGAGCTCTTTCACCTTCGCAAACCGCGCCCCACCTGATTTTGACGCGTCCGTGAATATTGTCAAATCGTAATAAGGATTACGAATAGGATTGAAACTTGAACTTCCAATCGTATTCCACCACGTCAATTCTTTCAGAACCTCTTGGTTAATTGACAGTTTCCCGTTATAATTTCCCTTGCTTCTCAAAAGAGCTAAGAATTTCAATCTTTCACAAGCTTTTGTATAAACCAAACCGTATTTCACAGCTGGACAACAAGAAACTAGAAATCCGAGCATCTCAGCAAATTTCTGAATCTTATATTCGCGATTCGCTTTAAATTGACTAGTCAATTTTTTAATCTTAGCTTTCTCGGACATGAGTCTGATGACGGTTCTGCCGTCTTCCATTTTAAAATGTGGCGCATCAATAAATTCATTGAGTCTTTTCAGATTGATAATGAATCGATTCGAACCATCTGGCTTTGGGATTAAGAATATTTTGGAAATAAAATGATTTTTCTCGGGATAGCATTCTTCTACTGCTCCTTTTGAAATCAATTGCTCCACCAAATCTTTGATTTTAGCAAGTTCAGAAGCTGATGAGTCATCCTCTGATGGAGGATTATCTTGGATTACATGATTATTGAAAGGAATTTCGTATCCTTTTAACCAAGAGAGGATCACCTTATCGCTACTTATGTCATTCCAGGCGTGGCTAAAAAACTGCAGGCGCCCTGCAGGTTTTCTTACATTAATTAGCGACGGTGATATGACTTCTTGTTCTCCCCTCGGCTGTCTCTGTATTTCCTGGATGGCTGTTGACGTTGACGGTGTTGTTGCGGCTTCCTCGTTGACCTCGGTGACCCGCCAGTTGACGCATATTTCCTTTGCTGATTGCGCGGCGGGTTTTTCCAGTTTTTTGGCTTCGGATCCTTCTTCTTGACATCTCTTCCCGTCGACTGCATTGACTTGGTGGTCTTAACCGTCTCCTCCAAGTCTTTCCCAAAGAGAAACTCATCAGTTGTTGTAGATTGGAATGCATCCCTCATCGACACGTCCACATTCGCAATCACGAGATTTCTGCGAATTACAGATTCGTCATGTTGAAGATCAGACAGCAATTTGCCTGCGCCTGCCAGTAGTGTCATCAATTCACTCCATCCGGGAAGAGCCTTCTCCTTCAACAACGCCACTATCACTCGAGTCACCGCTGAGAGAGCGGAGGTGATCTTTTGTTGTCTCTTGACAATCTTGTCATCCCTGGCAACAATAGCGTCGTGCATTATAACCTTCACCAGCTGATTGAGAACTGGTGGCTCGAATCTGAGGCAGTTCTTGGGTGGTGTGAGCTGTAGCAAAAGCTCTTTCACTGACTCTTCTGGCAATCCCTTCTCTACAATCTCTTCGAACCGCATCGCCAAATTCGGAATGACATCTGGGGCCAATTGGCGATTGCCGTAGAGATTCTCGCCAAGAATATTGAGAATTTCTTGCTCAGCTTCAGTGACATGGTCAGCTGTGTTTTTCTGATCTTCTGGACGTACAGAGCCTTCAGGACTTACGGATCCTGTCTTAGAAGGTGAGGGAGTGGCACTCTTAGCCTCACTTTCTGAAGAGCTTGTGAGCTCAACAGATCTTCTCTCAGAAATGGAAGAAGATTTCTTTCTGAGCTGACTTGTGGACGCAATTGGAGATCTCGATCTATCTCTCGGTCGATATCTGGGCTGCTCACTGCTACTCTCACGGCTGCTGTCACGGCTGCTGACGCTGGATCGGCGGCTGCTGTCCGGACTGCTGCGATGCCTGCTCCTCTCCCGGCGGCCTGGCGAGCGGCTTCTCCCTGCAGTTCAAAGTAAGACGAAATATGTCAACTATGATGAACTCGAAGGAGGCCTTGATGAGCTGCATTTGCGCAAAACCCAGTATGACTGGCGGAGACTAGTGACAACTAGTTTTCCGGAGAGTTTAACTCTCTTCTGCCGTGTGTGAACTTGAGCCTTCGGCTCAAAACTACTTACCGGGGGGCGATCAAACCCCGTTCACACTGTGAGTATGACTCACGATTGGCAGAAAGCGCAAATTAAATGAGTGTGACTCATTTATAAGAGTGGCAACTCTTATTTTTGTGTTCAAAGAACACTGCAGCGTGATCGCCGCCATCTTGCCGGAACTTCTCGTTGCTGGAACATTCTAGAAGTTTCCAGAGAAATCGCTCAATTACTGCGATACTTACCGCGCTTTTTGCGCTTTTCCTTCGCCTGGCGCTTGAGCTTTTTAAGCTTTCGCTTAAAACACTTCAGTTGCTCGCGTAAATCCAGCTTTTCCTGGTGATCTCGCATTTTCACGAAAAAACGTGTTTCTTTCACGGCACACAATAGAAGAATGACAGATCAGGACGGCAATATGGCCGCCAGAGGTTATCCGCGGAGTGAAGTTAGCAGTGTTTGTTTTTGAATTTATCGATGAAACGTGTGGATTTCGGCACAGAGTGGAGGGACTACATAGTTTGATCTCGAGGAAGAGGAGCATAGTACAATTGCATTTCAGCACGCGCCAATTTATCTCGCTACAAATGTAAATCTCTCGCGGGTTTTTTTTAGGGAATTTCTAGAAAAGAGTGACAGGAAAAATTTCCCGGACAAAAATATCATTAATTCCACACTCTTTGCGCGTGAGTCGCGGTAGAAAAATTTAAATTGCAAGCAAAAATATTTGCCAAGAGTGTCGAAAGAGTCCGCGCAAAGTGTAATTTGTATGCGTCCACAGCGCGTTATTCACATTTTAATATTATAATAAAACACTTACCGGATATATGCTTCGTCATTCTTCGCCCAACCAGTGCTTTGCAATAGCAATGAGGTTGGAAAAAATGTGTGTGTTCTGGCCAGGGAAGAGTGCGCGTTGTTTTATAGAACAAAAAGAAGGCCTCACGCGCGCGCATTCTCTCTGGCCATCATCCATATTTTTCCCCATTGAGAATTGTGGCCAGAGAATTGTGTTTGCAACTGAAAAACATTCTCTCTGGGCATCCTTGCGGATGACGGTTATGGCGGAAAAGAGGCAACAACACATCAGATGCAATGGTAAAATGGGTATTTGTGTTATTTTGCGCAACATGTGGAGAGAGAGAAAGACACGGTTAATGCTTAAGCAAATCCCAATCACGTGATGATTGTTCTACCATCAGACATAAATTATTCATTTTCACGATTCACCAGCAATAATAAACATATATTTTTTTGATGGTCTAACGCTGCAGTGCCAGGATAAATATCTAAAGTGTCTGCGGGCATGCAAAAATGGGTGCACCATTAAGTGCACAGTGTGGCCAGGGAATAATGGGGATGATGTGCCCCGGAGGGAAAGTCGTCGTCTTGTGGCCACGACGATATAATGAGCCCCCCAGAAAATTGGCATCGTCAATAGAGGAGGACGATTCTGAACACGCAAGTCTGCGGCCAAAATTCAAATCCTGGCTGCACCTTGATGTTTCAATTCCTGCCCGGCGAATGGGCAACACCTCGAAGGGTCTCTAAAATTCAAATTTAGCTCCACAGGTAAAACCTTTTTCACCCCTTCTTGTGTGCCTTCACGTGACGCCGTGCATCTGTTCCTCAATCTTCTGCCCGAAATCACCTGAAATATTAATATCTCCCGAAATATATATTCCTAATGAGGCACCGAAAAAGGGGTTGTTGCAATAGAATGCGATGTTGATGATCTGCCGGACAGGTGCAGATGATCGCGCTCGATCAATCAAAGATCGTGTTTGAATGTCATTAAATTGCTCAGTTTGGGTTTTCTTCTAATTTTCTGACTACCCATCGAAGTTAATTTGCCCGCGGAAATTGATTAGACATGTCTTAAATGGACATAAAATATGCCAAATGATTAGGAGAGTCTCCAGAATGATGCTAAATGCAAATCAGATGGTTTTATAGGCACAATTCCATCAGCTGGTGGACAACATTTGACTGTGTTATTGTTGGTTCACCTGCAGAAACAAATGGCGAGCCTAATAAAATGCCTTGTGCGTAAATTTGACGGTGTGGCGAGAGACGAAAAGTGCGTACAGCAATCAATTAAACATCATCATCATTATCATTGCGACAAAAGACAGCAATTTATGAACACAGCCTGACGAGGAAAAGTACGCTGCGAAATGTGCACATTTGGCGCAGATGCGGCGCGGAACGAGTGAGAATTTCCGGCGAATGTGGAAAAGAGCTGGCGGTCATTTTTCGCCGTCGCATCTAACAACCATCCAAAGTGCGTGTGTCCTTTTTTGGGGGCACTCCTGATGGCATTTGGTCAATTTGTATGGGGACAATTGAAGGAATTATCTGTGGAATCTGCGCGAATCTTGGCGAGATTAGCATTTTGCAGGCACGAAGGCATGTCCGAAGCACTTCTGGGCACATTTTGAGAAGACACATATGGCCTGACGAATTGGCCTCTCGTGCATCTCGCCAACATCGCTGTTCAATTATTCTCACAAATTCGCTCGCAGGAGCTTTGCTTGTCTCAGGCGGTATGTTGCATTTTTTATACATATACTCTCCGCGTATGGTCAATTGCTGCAATATTTATATCTCATTATGCATTCGCGCACGGAGAAGCGAATGCGCCAGAGCAGGATGGAGGCGAACTTGAGAGCGAAGAACCGGTTCCCAAGCCATACAAAAGACCATTACAATAAAAGCACTTCGCGTACGGATTGGCTCTTCTGCGTTTGTTTATTTTCATTGTTGCGCCTCTGCTGCAGAAGCGCGCGGCAAAACGAAGAGGCCGACCACATTGCATAGCTGTACAGATAGTAAGTCTGACCATGGTCTGACCTGGCCACTTTTTATGGCATACATTCACCCCCCTCCGCCTCGCCGATTCCTCCAAGCATCTCCTCGCCAAGTGTCTTCTCCGGTCGCGAGATGCAAAGCTGGAGAGAGAGAGAGAGATGCTCTTCCACACCTGAGAATAGGCGACGCGCATTGAACGTGGATTGAATTGAATTGAATAACAGTGGGATCAGAGTGAGAAATAATAATAATTTCTGCACAGTGCAGATCATTTCTCTCTCCCTGCTGGCCACAATGTTGAGAAGTCAACCCGACGCGAGTCATTTTTCATTTCTTTTCAAAGATTATTCGCCACAATGAGAGCCGCCTGTCGTGCCACCATAAATAACGATAAATTATCCTATAGACTCTCTGGCCACTATCTTGGCATATTTTTTATCTCACACTTGGATATTCTCACCGGTCGAGTCTTGGGTTGCAAGATGTGTTTGCTTGAAGAATGATAGGGGTTCTTGCGAATGGGCGAAATTCAATCAAGAGAATCGTGAACAGGGTCAGAATTTCAATTAAACGCGATACCACAGTGTGGATTTCTTGGATATTAGGAAAGAAATGCCAAAAGACGATAGGAAAATAAGTGATATTTTCGGTATAATCCCGACAACTCCGTTAAGAGGTTAAGAGTAGCACAGACTCTCCCACGGTTTTGCTTCGAATTTCCATTTCATTTGTCTCACAATGTTGCTTGATGGTGGAAGAAAAAATGCTGAGGGGGAAAAGACATAGGCATGAAAACACGCACATTCTTCTTCCTCATCGCGGCCAGAGAGACAAATTTTGCACAGAGACGCGCGCTCTCGTGGCCGAAAAGCCTTGAGAGTGAACCTTCATCAACTCATTTTTTGGCATTATACACCGCGCGGGTTGGCGTAGAAAAAATTATATGTATTTTTTATCGGAGCGGCAATAATACATATACGAGTTTTGTAAGTTCAAAAATCAAGCTAGAGGTTTTCTCATCATTAGCAGTTATTTTCAACGTTGCCGAACAACTCATTTGCCAGTTCATTAACCCAACGTCCAATCAATAAAAGATCACACTCCCGAGAGATATTTCTCCTTCTCTTCTCTCTCTCTCTGTCTCTTGTGTGTGGTGAATTTTGGGCAAAGCGAAATGCGCGAATAGATCACATTTGCAGAAGAAGATTCGCAAGTCAACCGGAGAAAGAGGAGAGGATTTTTATGGGGGATATTAAATTAGCATAATTGATTGAGGAGAGTTGAGATGAAGAAGGAAATACTACAATTTTATTCTCCATGCTCTGAAGCTTCAAAGCTCAGCCAATTTTCTGGGTGGCAGAAAGATCTCCCAGGAAGATAGTTGGATTTGCCTCTGCAGATTAATAATCACACTCCTTTCTGGTGTGCTGAAGAAAAGGGTAGGCAGAGAATGTGGATGAATAATTGATGTGATTCTATATGTTAATCCGCGAACTAACGCGCGAGACTCGCGTATCGATTCGCTGTATTGATTTAATTCTCTTTTGCAAAAATGTTAAGCGTCAATCACGGGGGAGAGGCAAAAAGAACCTCAGCTTTTGCACCAAACCACCAAGATCCAGTTGGAGAAGACTGTGTGTGCGAAAGAGAGAGAGAGAGAGAGAGAGAGAGAGAGAACAGGAGATGTTGAGGGAGCAAAAAAGCAGAGGTAAAAAGACCCAAGAGGAACTCCAAGGTTAGCAAAATTTTGCTTCAATTCGGATACATTGTGTGTACCTGAAGGTCAAACGCATTAATTCAGGTGTATAGGAAAAAGAGCGACAGCAGTGGAAACCTATAAATCAGCCAAAGAGAGTGAGAGGGAGGAGGGATAGGAAAAAGAGGTGGCCGATTTAATTGCGTGCACCGCACATTGAATGAAAATGTTAATTGGGCGATATTTGTTACAACAATCAGCTGATTATTATTTAAATACAATCCTGTTAAAAAAGACATGATGATTCAATTAAATAGCAGTGCGTGAAAATCCTTGAGAATAACTGAACCGCGCGCGCTAGCTTTTGTGTGTCTGTGTTTGCTGACTTGGCCCAGGAAATCCGCATTAAGGAAATGGTTTCAGCGTGTTCGCCGGTGAATTAAGAAATTACACATTTTATGATTTATCGCATTGTTCGGCGCGTCTATGGACGAAAAGCACAGTGGAAAAGAGAGAACCATTAAAAATCCGTGTAGCTTTTTTTTCTCACCACACCTCATAATTCACGTGACAAATTTATGAGCAAAATAATCCCAGCATGTCGAACTGTTACTGCTTGTGCAGATGATAAAAATCTCTTTTTCGACAACATCCTCCGAAAGTACACAAACTGTACAAATGCAAAAATTGTACAGAAAACATCAACAACAATTATTCTCCAATTACGCTCGTGCACGCGCCAGATGTAAAATTATCCACCGATTCAAACATGAACTTGAAAATCAATTGAATTTGAGGAGTTTCAACTGCATTTGAGATTGAACTTGAAGATAAGATTGAGTAGAGAATATCTTATTGGTGTGGTCTTCAGAATGCGCCAGTATCAATTTTCCATGTTAAACAATTGAAGAAAAACGTTCAAGGGAACAATTTAAGTGAATTCTACACAGTGCTTTTCTCTTCCTCTCTTTAATCCATTTCCTACAATTTTCACACATGCAGATAACAAAAGTGTCTTGAATATTTAATTGGACATTCTTAACTCACTTCCGCACTCACTATCTCAAATCTGGGATACACTTTGCTCGTGGCACACAAAAACGCACAATTAGTGTGCGAATTTTAAGCATTTCGTGTCCTCACAAGTTGGATTCTTACTCTTTGTCACCGCGAGAGGAGTTTTGTGCCAACTCATACTCAACTTATTAATGTAATTCCCTAATGAATGGAATGAATGAAAACCGCTGAAGATCTCTAATCAATTAAGGTGTGTTTTCTGTATACAGAAATTAATCGCTTGTCTCTAGAGAACTAGAGAATGAGATTTTACTAATTCTCTCAGACAAATCGAATTTAAGACACCGAAAACGGTTTGATTCAAATCCATGGCGAATGAATTTTAGTCCGAGTTATTTCGAGAGTCTGACTCAAGTTCTTTGATCACTATCAAGACACAATTCTGCTACACTAAATAACGATTTCGGATTTTGCCAAAAGGAATGAGAAAAAATCATCTCGACTTTTAGGTAAAAATAAATGTGTATCAATCTCTTCAAGTCTCAACTTCTGCCTTTTGTCGATTACCTCATCGCGGGCTTGCTTGATGGCGGTGGAAAAAAAGCTCTTTGTTGTGCAAACATTCTGTTTCTGGAACTTTATTGCTCACAATCCACTTTATTCTGAGTCACACGTGCATTTTTTCTGGAGCACGAGTGGCAAAAAAACAGGTCAGAAATACATTTCCCAGGAGGACAAGAAGTCATTCTGCGCAATTTATATACTTTTCAACATTCATTTCTTGCATCGCTCACTTTGTCGCCTTATCAGCGCTCATCATCGAAATTCAGCATTTTTTTTGGCTCTCGTGCAACCAAAGGTTTGACACTTTTTGCCCTGATTCAATCGAGTTTAGGCGTGTTGTCCTTCACTTTCTCCCCACCCAATTGCACTCCGGACAGAGGGCAGACGGAGAGATTTGGGAGTAAAAAAAACCAGATTTTGGCCACATTACGCCATCAGGCGCCATATTGCGCAAGTGATCATTTCTCTGCACAATTCTGTTGGATTCTGTAAAGCTCCCGCGAGCAAAAGAGGGAAAATATTGATTAGAGACTTCTCTTGTGTTTGCAGTGCGCGACATATTTGCCGAGGAGAATCGCCTCTCGCCAAGTCCACCTGCTCCCGAGACAGCGGCACAGCGTGGCCCAGGGCAGAGCAGTGAAAAGGCGCCGGATCGACCTGTTCCACCCGTGAGGCGCTTCATATCGTCCATCCTGGGCGGCGACATTCCATACGGCAGCCGGAGTCACGTGCTCACGCACGCCGAGCGCAAGGAGTACCCGAAACCGGGCCTTCCGCCGCGCAAGGACACGAAGAAGGAAGCCAAATCGTTGGTGGTGGAGGAGAAGCCGCTCGTTCCCGAGGAGAAGCTCATCAATCTCTCCACCACGGCCAGCAAGGTGAGCGCGTCCAGTGATAGCAAACCCAGTCCAGCGCCCCCGGAGGCGGCGGTGCGATGTTCTGTGATACAGCGCACACCATCCACTAAGCCACAGTCCAGCCTGGTGCGGCCCAGTGGCAAGTGTCCGGCGGAGCGCAAGGAGGACGATCCCACGGACGTGAAGGTGCCCCTGTCCATGCTCGGCGCTCACTTGGAGCCAGAGCAGGAGCACCCCATCGACTACCACATCCCCAAACAGCGCTCGGACGAGTTCGACGAGCGCGAGGCGGAAATGAAGTCGCGCGAGGCCAGGCGCAGCAGCGGAATCGTGGTGAGTAGACTGAATGTTCAGAATATCCTTGGGAATGTGTCTAGAATAAGGGATGTTTCTGCAGGTGCGACCCTTCCTCTCGATGCGCGTCTTCCATCGCGTCGGCGGCCTGGGCAAGATCAATGGCATCATGTCTGCGGCCGCGGGTCACGGCAGGTCAGTGAATAGCGGCAACGGAAGCCAGAGCGGACAGAGTTCTGGCGGCGGCGGAGGCTCCATCAACTTTGGCGGCTCCTCCGGAGGCAGTGGCGGCGCCAGCGGCGGAGGGAATGGCGTGAGCGGCGGCGGAGGAGTGAGCGGAGGCGGCGGAGGCGCAGGAGGAGGAATGGGCGGCGGCAGAGATGGACGGTCAAATTACGGCCCCAACAGCCCGCCGACGGGCTCTCTGCCGCCGTTCTACGAGAGCCTCAAGGGCGGCCAGAGCGGCCTGAACGCATACAATGCGGCCAACGGCGGCTTCATCGGGCCCAACGGCTACCTCATGAGCAACAACATGGGCATGGAGTGCGACGGGAGCGCCGAGCTGACAAACCTGGGCGGCTACTCGGACACAACGACGCACGGCGGGAAGCAGTACTCGATGCTGCAGAACGCCGCGTACGGAATTCACCTGAAGGACGAACAGGATTTGGACTACGACACGAAGATGGATCAATTGTCGCTGAACGGCAATCTGATGCCAAACTCCTATTCCGGCTACGACGTCAACGACTCGATGATGGTGGATTTGTCCGGGAATGTGGTGGATCCGCTTCAGTTCACTGCCACGCTGACGTTCTCGTCGCCGGCTGAGCACGCCCTCCTGGACAGCCTCACAGACGCCGTGGACTTGTCCTCGTTTCTGCAGCGCCTGCCCAGTGACGACCAGCCCAGCCCGGGCAATGAACTGGAGCTCTCCTCCACGCCCTCCCTCACGCCCGACTCCGTCTCCATCACGCCCGTGGACTCGTGCCTTGAGCCGTTCCCCGAGAACTTCATCATGGGCCGCGGTGGCGGCGGCGGCGGCATGTACGACCGCAACTTCGGCGTGATGTCCAACGGCAAGGGCGTGTACCACCAGCAGCCCGAGAGCAACCCACCGCCAGGCTACCAGCAGCAGTCGCAGCGCGACGTGCACCAGATGCTGCCGCACGCCGACCACCAGTCACACCCAGTGCAATTGAACTTCCCGTCGCAGCCCAGCCTGGACCTGGACTCGCAGAGCAATCTGTCGCTGCCGTCGCCGGCCAGCGGCGTGACCTCACTGGACGGCGCCACGAGCTCGCCGCCGGACACGAAGCCCATCATCCAGTCCGTAAGTGTTGGACGGGAGACGTCACCGTTACTTAGCGAAACCAAAATGCAAATGCTGCAACAAAGGGTGAGCATCGAATTTTTCCCCGCTGATTTCTTGCGGCCACAGCGCGCGAGGGTTTTTCGGTTCACACCCCTGAGCTGATAAGCCCTGCGATGAGGCCACACACTCTCTGTTTGTCTCGTTCCTCCTTGTGGTGTCTGTGAAATCAATTGTGAAAAATTTGTTTGCCAGCTTTTTCTTGTCCAGCAATTTGTCTGCATTTTCTCTCTTCCTAACAATGTGTGTAATAATGTTGCGATCTTTCTGGTCGCCTTTGCAGCTGGGACTGCCGGCGGAGGTGCAATTGGAGTTTGTGAATGGCGGCCACGGGATCAAGAATCCGCTGGCCATTGAGAATACTCACGGCCATCGGCTGCGCGACGAGGAGAAGACCAAGCACAGCAGCCCGACGGCGTGCGCCGTGTCGGAGGATGATCCCAACAAGTTCGTGTGTCGCATCTGCTCGAAGACGTTCACGCTGCAGAGGCTCCTCAATCGCCACATGAAGTGCCACTCGGACATCAAGAGGTACCTGTGCACGTTCTGCGGCAAGGGCTTCAACGACACCTTCGACCTGAAGCGCCACACGCGCACGCACACCGGCGTGCGACCCTACAAGTGCAATCTCTGCGAGAAGTCCTTCACGCAGCGCTGCTCCCTCGAGTCGCACTGTCTCAAGGTGCACGGCGTGCAGCACCAGTATGCGTACAAGGAGAGGCGCACAAAGGTGAGCCACACACAATCTCGCCACTTCCGCGAGTCTCTGTCATCTCACACAGCAGCAGATATCAGAGTCTCTAATTCACTCCAATTTGAATACCTTTTTAATTGCAATCTTGAGAGAACAGCCGCGACTTCAGTCAAGGAGTCTATCAATTAAAGTCGCATGAAATGCAAATGTTCTTCGCAGAATTGATTGTCAAGATCATTGTGCGAGTTTTAAAGGCAATTTTCACTGCCTCATTTAATTCACTGATATCGAGGTGCTTCGAGAGCAACTCAGCCAAGGTTCTTTGATTTCCCCATAAAGGTTGACATCGAGAATATTGTAGATTCCAGAATTAGCGAAAGGTTGATTCTTTGTGTGTGCAAAACGCTGATTAAAATCACATGTTCTGGGAGCAATATATTTGCGAAAAATCTCAATCTTTTGCTCAGTTTGAGTGTAATTTCAATCCTTTGAGTGTAATCAGAATTTTTCTTTAGAATCTGACACACTTTGAACTAAAATTTACCTTTCTGACGTGCAAGAAAGATCTTTTAAATCATTTTTATTAAATATTAAATGCTTTTTTCATAGTAAATTACTGTATAATTGCAAATTTATCGGCTGTTTATTATGTCCAGTTCTTTAAACTTTGAAAAAACTCATCGCATTAGTTGATATTCCAGCGTCTTTAGCCGCTTCTCACTTTGCACCGACAGAAGATTTGTTAGACATGAACTGGCGAATGTTAATTTTAGAGAGTGTCTTACAAGAGAGAAGACGAGATATGTTAATGCGATTGTGAGAATTTTGGCAATTTGCAAATCTCGCGCCTCTTCTACACCATAAACTTTGCCTTTCTTGTCTTGCAGATGTACGTGTGCGAGGAATGTGGTCATACAACCAGTGAACCCGAAGTTCATTATCTCCACCTGAAGGATAATCACCCATACTCACCGGCGCTCCTCAAGTTCTACGACAAGCGCCACTTCAAGTTCACGAATTCGCAGTTCGCCAACAATCTGCTGGGACAACTCCCGATGCCAGTGCACAACTGAAGAGTGGGCAGAAGCTCCTCGCCAGCGAAATTGAATTTCCCACCCCCCGGATTTCCCACTTCTCATCGGCGGCTTTCCAATTTTTTTTTGATTTTGATTTGAAGTTTCCTCGACGCATTGAAGTACTTTTTTCCTCCTCATCCTGTGAAATATTGAATTTCTCATTTTCCCCCCCATTTTTTTTTTCATTTCTCTTACACTATTTTTTAAAACAGTGTAAAAAATCACAAACACATATTTGTTACAACTGCTCAAGTCTGATTTACTTTATAGTTGTATTTTTTTTCTCTCAAAATGAATTAAAAAAAAAAGAAGATTAATCTCAGTAAGGAATCTGTTTATAAGTGAATTCATTCCCTTAAAGTCTCTCAGACAGAAGAAAACAAGGAAAAGTTTAGAGCAAAAGCGGATAAAAGATGAATAATAGACTGTCGAAGCTGTTGCCAATGAAAGATTCTCGCGGTTAAAATGATCTTATGACCTGTAGAGAAAGTGTTCTTCTGCAGACGCATTAAGACCATTTTGACAATCATTGCACGGCTAATGCAATATTTTTTTTTAATATTTACTCTCTAGATTGTAATTGTGACTAAAAGGAATTTTCTTTTCTCAACTCTCTTTGTCTCTTAAACTCTGAAAATCTCTGCAGCTTTATTGCGGAACGCGCGCGCGCGCCTTTCTTTCCTGTCGTTTGTCATGTTTTTCTTTTTTTCTTCAAAAGACTTTAACAATTCTCAAAAATGTAGTTGTCGAAATTTGTGAAGAAAAACAGCTGCAAAGGAAGGATAAATAATATTAGATAAAAGAAAAGCACCATTCAATTTTCTCAAATGATTTTTTTTTTTACTTTTCTCAAATGACTGCAAAAGTTGATGGTTGAATTGATGAATGGAAAAGAGTTGTTGGATTGAAAAACAGGAAGAAGAAAAACTCTGAAAAGCCTTTTTTTCACACACACAATTCGCCATCAGCTGTGAAACTAAAAACAAAGTATCGGGTTTTTTGTGCAATTTTGGTGATGGAAACTGGGTTTAAATATTAATTTTATTACTTGATATTTTATCAATATGATTAAAGAAGAAATAAAGAAAAGAGATGAGAAAACTTTAAAGTGTAGGAATTTAGATTTAATAAGAGTAAAAACGAAAAATCAAGCATTATAATGATTTATTATAACTGAAGAACAGCATTTTCTCTATTTTATTTTTTTTTTTTTGTAAATCTAAAAATACATGAAAATTAATATGATCGAATTCCTCGAAATCGAAAACACCTTTTTGGAGTGAAAGAAAAAAAAAAAGATATATTTTTTTTATTGAAAATTAAGCGGGAAGAGAAAAAACGTTGAAATAGGGAAGAAAAAACTCAAAGTGAATATGAAAAATCATGCTTTTATGTACCTTTATCTAGCTTTTAATGAAGAAAAATATTGTTGTAATATGTAATAAATAAAACTTAAAAGAGTAAACGATTCTTTCTCTCAATAAACACAAAAAAAATATCGTAGCTAATATTTAATGAAAATAACATAGAAAGAGAAAAACGATGGATATTTAAAAAGAGAACAAAAAGTGTATGAAAAATTAAGGAATCATCAAAATACTTTTAGTGACATTCTTCATCATGAAAGTCCATTGAAAAACATCGTAATAGCGAAAAAAACATCATCACGATATCAAAACTATTATAAACATATTTATTGCTATTTTTTGTATCTTATTTATGTCTTTTCTTTTATTATGGAGAAAAAATCGCAGAACCGAATGGAAAAATAAAGAAGTTTCACTGAAAACCAGAAAATATTCTCTTTTATTCCTTCTTTCGTCGAAAATTAAAAAGATCTTTGGTGGTTTATTTTTGATAGAGCTAAAATTCTTTATTGATCCTCAAAAATACAATAAGTACTACAAAAGTTTTTTTTTTTTGTAAAAGTGTTTCTCAGTTGCAATATATTGTTTTATAAGGCAAGAAATTCTATGTTGTTTGGTATTTTTATTCCTCATGTAATTTTTTTTGTTTTTGAAAATACACTAACGCGTTTTTTTTTACTAGCAATTCCAATTTTCTCTATTGATTTAAATATTCCTCGAGTTCTAAATTACGAATTATGATTATGTGTAATTCTCACTGAAGTCTATCGTAATGTTTTTTTTCTTTTTTCAATTCCTCTAGAAAATGCTTGAACAACCTCTAAAGTATTCATTCATGTTTTAATCCCTTTATATAAGATATTTATGAATATAATTTGTAGTGAGTTTTTTTTTCTCTAATAATTGTGATGTAATTTAATGGGAAGAAATTCTTGCTAAAATCGCATGAAAGACTCATTTCGAAGTCGATATTAAATGCTTATATTTTGCTGACTTCTGCCAAGAAGCACTTTTATTGCTCATTAATAATTGATTTCCTATTCAAATTCATAAGATTATGAATGAGAGTTTAAATGGCTAAAGCTAATCGAATTTTCCACTTACTTTGTATGGCAAAAATGGAAGAAAACAAATTTTTATATACTTGAAAGAATTTCTTGAGTGACACAAAATCACGTCTTTTCCACAAGATGTTATTTATTTGGGCAGCACAGAAACCCATTAAAACTCACGCTGTAACAGATATAATCTCTCAAAGGTGGACAAAGAAAAGAATTCTTAGTAATTTGATACATTTTTACAGTGTCAAACAGATTTTTTTTCTCTCCCCTTTCTTCTTCGAATTGTCAATCAGAAATATTAAGAACATCTCACAGAAGTTTACCGTTAAGTCACCATATGTTGAAAGTGCTAAATGATCACAGTTTAACATATATTCACTATATTATATCGATCACTTAAGGTGTCACACATTAACTTCTTCGTCTCTTGGGCAAAGAAACATTCGCTAAGTTATTCACATGCACGCTAATGATTGTGTTTTGGGAGAGAAAAATGTACGTCATAGAAAAGCTTCTTTTGCATCAAAATCTTGGAGTGTTTTTCTCTTTCATATCATCAGGAACTATTCTGGCTACTATTTTACCGAGATTACACTCTGCAGAAGTCATTTATATAATTTACGCTCTATTCATAAATTTGCATAACTCGCTTTTAATGTGATTCACACAATAAATTTTCATCTCACTTTGTATTTGTGTGACATTAATAACTAATGTAGAATTGCGACAAATTGCTACAATTCCTCAAAAAGATGTCTTTTACAATTTAAATTGACTAGACATGTGAATTAACGCCTCATCTCTCAAAATAACTCCCATATAATATTCTCTCTATTATTTCAATATCAATTCGCTACAGTATATTGTGTTTTAGCTTCTTCAGCTGAATATCTGGCCTATTGTAAGTCATTTTAATCATTAAACATGATGCTGAGCAGTGCGGAGTGCTTCGCGAAGGATACATTTGCTCTCATCAGGTGTACAAAACCTCTCTTTCAGCACTCAGTGTTTCTATACAGAACATTATTATTATTATTATAAATTCTCTGTGAACAGTAAAATTGCAACAAATTCCATCTATTGAATGCTGAAAGAAAGAGTGCAAAAAAAAAGACTCAACAGCAGATAATAATAATGTGTTACACTGGAATTCCGCTTCGGTCCCTAATTTTCCCCATTACATTCACATTGAGTTTCGAATGACTGGAACGATGCTTATTGTCGAGCGATGTTGACGAATCATGTTTGGAATCACGTTGTGAAGATTTGCGACTGATGCTCTGCTTGTTCGATTGATTCGTTTCACGCGTTTGATCTGTATTTGTCGGTGCATTTTGATTTTGCACATTGTGCACCAGAATTCTCTCCAACTGCAAAACCAAACAGAAAGCAACAATAAAACATGAAGTTTTCCTTTACAAACTGTTAGCAATCTGCCTTTACCTCTTCGTCAATCGCCTTGAATTGCCAACTCCAATTGGCTCGATAGAGAAAAGGCCGATGATCGAAGCGATTGTCATCAGGACTGTAGGATTCAGCGTGATAAGCCGGCGTCAGGACAGTCATCTTGTGACGATTGATGGCATAGCAGCGAAAGAAGTGCTTCACTTTCTCCGCCACTTCATTGGGCGTGCACGCGTGTCCCCAAGTCGCCACCAATTTGCAGAACATGCTGAATGGTCCACAGTAAGCTTGCTTCCTCAATCTCCCGTACTCACTGAGTTCCGCATAGGTCATTCCCATGTCCTGCTCATCCGTCTGCACCAGCTGTCCACTGACCAGAGGCTCCAGTTCTGCTGTTGGAGCAGCAGAGACGATGTCATCGATGATGGGAAGATTGAATTGATTTCTCGCATAGAGAAGGAACTTTCGCAGATCCGCTTTGGAGATGCCGCCAATGGGATTAATGTCAGCACTGGAGCAATCATACTTCGTCATATATCCTCTCAGCGCCTCATCCACATTGGCTGATCCCAGAACAAGAAGACCACCAGGACGATTTCTCACCCACAACATGAGTTGTGCAAATAAATAGGCCAAAACCATTCGGATGCGCGCCTGAATGTTCTGCAGTGCCAAATTCTGTCTCGCACATCCGCCCAGAGATCGGAATTTCGGTGTCATTCCCGTCACGAACGTGAAAACACCAATCAGGGCACTCACGGCGCCATCAATGTTGATCTCCAGATGATAGCAGCCCAGCTGATCGGCCAACACAGCTGCCCTCTGCTTCGTCTCCACACTGGAATTCTCACTGCCCATGTAGCATGTGACGAGGAGTCGATTGCAGAGGGCGTGCGGATTGTCTGGCGTGTAGTCTGGATCGCCAAGAATCTTCCTCACATCGTGCAACACTTGAATGTCACCCAATTCAATGGCATTCACCACCAGACGACACATTGAGTGTACAATCGACGCTGTGCTGCTGGAATCCACTCCGCCGCTCAGCGGCAAAAAGAATCCACCCTGTCCTGACCGCCTCAGATAATCCCACATCCAGCACGCCGGACCCAGAGCAATCTCCTCCTCAGGCGTGTGATACTTCCACTGCATGGGAATGCTCGTGGGGATGCTCATGTAGTTGTGACCAGACATCTCAAAGTCCACATTGATGCGCGGATAAGTGGGCGCCGACGCTGCCATCACGCTGCGTGACCGCAAAGCCATTCTGTATGAGCGAATGTCCTCCAGATCAATGGTAGCGACAGTCACTTCCTGCAAGACAAACACGAAACTTCTACAATATTCATGCGATCAAATCAATTTCCTCTAAATCCAATGGAAAGCACACAAAGAATAGATGTCATAAAGCACTCTCTTCCTCTGTGTTTACTCTGGCAGAAAGAGAGAGATAAATGCTTTGTCAATAGTGAAAAAGGTTCAATTTCCAATTGAAGTAAATAAAATTGAATCCACTAGGATTCAGGATAACATATTGCCCTCACGGGAAATAACCCAGGTTTGAGGTAAACAGTTCAATAAACCATGTTGTGAATGGTAGGAAAATGGAGTAAAATTCACTTACAACATCTTGCAACGAAAATTGCTTTCCTCTCGCTATTATTTCCCCATTCAGCGCCACAGCAGAACAACCATTGAAGTATATTCGCTGCCCGTCGCAACCCCTGAGATTGCTGAACAAATAAGCACCGCCAGCTTTGTACGTTGCATTCCTTATCAGGTCCGTTGTCACATAGGCCTTTCGCAATTGCATATAGCTGCCAGAGCTGTTCACAATCAACTCCACGCCGGACAGGGACAAATCAATATGTGTACCTGCAGGTGAGCTTAATTAATTTCCCTGTGTTCATAAACAATGAATGCGCAATGAATCATACTCTTGGGATTCCACAACTCCTCGCATATCTCGTAGCCGATACACGTGTCCTTTGTGGCAATGACAGCATCGCCAATCGGCACAGTCTGTTGTCCTGTTTCTGCCGAAATCATTCGTGGCAGGTAGAAATCCTCCGTCATGCACAATTTCTTCCACATGGAAAACCATCGCGTCTCACGATAACAGCCATCATCGCAATTCTGCATTTTGGGCCTAATCAGGAGTATTTTCTTGTTAAAAAACGTCACACGGCAGTTATAAGCGACATTTCTATGCTGAATCGGCATTCCGACGTCAATCAAGATGTTCTGCGTGTGACTGGAAGTTAATAATTCCAGTAGAACTTCCCACGAGTGGAGAAATGTGTCTGGCTCCAGAAAATGATCCTCACAACTGTATCCACTGTAAACAGAAGAAGCAAAAGAGAGTAAATTGTTTATGAATTCACTGTGTGAGAAAAGAGCAAAATAATTTACCAAATCTCCAATTCTGGTCCTGTTCGATACGTCGCGCCCATTTCCTTGGCCTCAACAATCGATTGGAGAATCCTTGAGAGATTTCCCTCGAAGTCCAAAGCCCATTGATTCAGTGTGGCAACAGCAACAGTCACTTTCCTTCCCATTTTCCACTGAATTCTCCACTCAAATCAATCCAGGAACTGAAATGATGGTAACCAATTATTATCTCCCTTTTAGTGGAAGTGATTTTAAAATCACATAGCGACTCAAGATGGGTGGTAAAGTTGAACTCTATCGAATAAATAATTCCCTTCATTGCCATGGAGGCGAAATGTGACGATGTATGAGCCATTCATCAAAGTTAATCTTGGATAAAAAAGCTCTGCATTTTCAAGTAAACAAGAGAAAAGGTGTATGTCATTTCCATGATATAAATCCCTCCTGAAGAAGATACAAATCAAGAAGAATACAAATTTACTGACTCCATATTTTCATGTCAAAGTTCTGCACAAAATATTGCCCAAAAAAATGAAATAATCCAGAGGAATTTTCCATAAGCACAAACACATATCATGTTTTTGGGGGTGAATTTACTGACACTCAATGTGCATTCATAATTCACTTCATGTCACGATCATTATCACTATAAAGGACCTTATACAAAGCGTGTTATAAAATTCCCCAAATGGAAAAAAATGTCCATGAAATAAACACATAAATTCAATTGAAACGGAAAAACTCCTCACGATATCAATAAAATAGACGCGAAAAGTTATCCAAAAATACCTCACAACAATTTACACATATTCCAGGAAATCATTTCTCCCCTTTTCAAACACCAAAAATAGACATTCGAAATGGGGGATGATAGTGAGGAAAAAATAGCTCCACATATATAATATCTATAGGCATTTTATTACCTCTCATTGAAAAAACTTTATACGCCCGGATTCTCCTTACAATTTCACATGAGCCTTCGAGTCTATTGACTCACGCGTGATAGAGGATATCTTCCTTCCTTTGTCGTGTTCGATTAATGCTTTCTTTGAACTCTGACAAATATATGTATATATCTATAATACATAGCACACGCCAAACATGCGAGTGATTGAAACTTTTGCCTCACTCGCATTTACAGACGTTTTTTCCGCGATTACAGCCAGAGATAATAATAGATCGCTTCGACAAGTTTCACTATAAGAATATTAAATGCGATTGGCTTTTAATTAGAGATGTTGTGGTCTGAAATATATAGTCTTCACGAGCAATCCTGATAAAGGTATTAAAATTCTATGGCAGAAATATACGCAAATAGATTTTATTTGCACTCAAACAACTCTTTTTTACGCCTTCAAAAATAAACTTAACGACTTGTAAAAACCTGAGGGACAGTCTATCTTGCCTTATGTTTGCCTCCGATGCTTTCAATTTTAAAGATTAAACATCAGTTAATTCAATTCAAACACATAATGAATTTTTCACCTACAATATTAACGCAAAACCCCATTAGTTTTTGGCCAAATTGCAAATTCAATTTCAACACAGCCAGTGCTTTTGTCTTATCTGCAATCTTTAATAAACTCCCCCCAGGAAAATGTGCCCCAAAAGCCGTCGATGAGCATGATTTTCAATTCTCTCACGCTCTCCTGAAAGTCTCTTGTTCACTGGCAAAAAAAAACCTCATTTCAAATTCTCCACTTTATTTATTCATTCAGGTGATTTGCAAAACCAACGCGTTGCTGTTGAACTTTCTCGCGAAGAAAGAAAGAAAAAAAAGCCCCCGCGAAAGCTTGCATTTTCCCATCGGAAAAACCCATATCACTCAATTTTATTATTAACAAACCATTCTTTTCTTTTGCCTTTCCAAAACCTCACAAAGAACAAGAGAAATAGGATTCTTGGAAGAGAGTTTTATAAGAGAACAAAAAAAAAATCGACACATTTTCTCTGTACATTTATTTATAGCCACAAAGAAATTATGTATCTCACAAATGTGAATTTGAGCTTTCTAATATTAAAATAGTTGTGTATGGAAATAAGTTGAATCTGTATAGAGTTCGTTGACGGCAAAAAGCGCCTCCGAGTAGAGTCATGTTAACCCTTTCATTTTTGCGCAAGAGTGAAAGAAGACGCGAAAGCTCTGCACATCACACAAAAACATACACAGACATTCTCTATATCGCAAACTATTAGAATAAATATTCCTACTATATATTACGGCTACAATGTCTTGAAGTTGTATTTTCAACCATCATTCACAATGTTCCAAAGCGCTTCACGAGTTTGTGTGTTCTGCTGTGTTAACACAGCAAGAACTTTTCCACACCACTGGATGAATAAACAAAAAGAAAAAGCCTCACTCAAGCTTTCTGCTTGTGCGGAGATACCGGTTATGAAAATACAATTTCATTTTCAGTACAACGCGAAAGTTCACCGTCAATAGACAGTAAATTTTTCAATCATGACCCGGGCGAAGAGTTAATTGGGCAAATTGATAGTGAAAAAGAATTTATTCTAATACACACAGTCAGACAAAAAACCCGAGAAAAAATAATAAAACAAACATTTCCGAGCCGCAAACTTAATAACTCATCCGCTGAAATAAGGTGTTGAACTCTTGCCAAATTGATCAAACTCGAGGAAAATTAATGATGAAAGTTTCAAATATCTCATAAGTCGCCGAAAACGGGGAAGTGATAATTTCACCCTTGAAGAAGAACACCCACAAAATCACCATGTCGTGCAATTAACAGTGACACAGAAAATCATGGACGCTCCTCTGGAGGAAAACTACAACGGCGGTGAGTGATTGGAATCCCCTTTAATTCAATTATCATTGCCATAGTTTCAATAAAATCAATCAATAAGCGATATGATAAGTTTTTTTTCTTTACAATTATTACTGACCTTGACCCACATTTACCAAGAGAAGGATATATTCTTTCCCTTCAAGTCACCGCGCGCGCGATTTCTTTCAATTCGCCAATTTTTCTATATTTATATTGAACAAACAATGACCTAATAGATTATGCATTGGAGAGAAAAACTCTTTCAGTCGTCCCTCCGAACTGTAATTCTCTGCAATTTTCTGTGTAAATTTAGAATCAAATTGACATGTTACGTGGAGTTTAATTCATGAGAACGTTGCAGAGTTAAAAGAGTTTATGTATACAGATTTTATTTTCAAACCCACCTCGTTATGTGCTTTAGAGTATTTCGCAATCTCTGCTAACACTTGTCATAAATATTAAATTAAGATGCTCATTTTATTTACGGTCTAAGAAGCTCCCAACAAATGCTCATCTCTGTGAGGACACACAATGTTGTAATTCAGACAAGAATTCCACTCAAAAGTACAGCATAGAAAAGTCAATTTGGCGTCATGGAAGATAGAAAATATTTTGTTATATTTAAAAATAGTAAGACAAATTTACATTTGTTTAGCATAAAAGATACAAAATTTATATCACCATTGTCCTTTGCGTGGGAGTCTTTGAATTGCAAGAAAACAAGGACAAATTGCCCAAAAATATGAACATCTCAAGTTTATACAGAGGAAAGCTTATAACAAAGTCACAATGCTTTTTGAAGGTTGTTCATCTCATTCAGAACAATATTTATGACTCCAAAACTCACCCCCAAATTCAAAACAACTTATCCAGGATGGAAATTCAATCCATCCAGAACTTTTCAATTTATCCAAAATAAATCATGCAGCAGTGAGTGTAACAAAGGATTGACACAATGTTTGTTCCCACGACAACGCCAAACAGTTTATCTATTGAAATTGCAATTTGTCTGAACTCCTCTCTTCGACATATTTGTGCGGCGAGGCTTTTTTTCGGCTGCGCAAAAAGGTTTTCCTTTCCACACAGCCAAAAAGTGAATTGTTATTACCTCAAATTTTGACCTCAAAAACTTTTAATCACAGTGAGAAAATTTGCACCTTTTTCACAACTGTTACAGTGGAAATAGTTCTGCTTTTTTTCACATTCAGCCACTTTTGTCGTGACAAGTGAAAAACAGAGAGAAAAAGAAGTGTTTTTTTTTTGCCATCAGGGGAAAATGAAGATTGATTTAGGGCATTTTTTCTCTCTCTTTCTCAACAAACATTTGAAAATTCAATGCAACTTTTCCAATTCCACTATCACATGAGGGTTTGCCTTTGAGTGCTGTCCAAGTGTAAAATTTTGAAAAGTGAATAGGAAGTACAAGTGAACATGTTTAGAGGAAATGGGTGCAGTTGGAACATTTCAACCGGCAATCGTGTCAGATTCCTTCAAGCTCAACTCTTTCCGGTCTACACATTTACAGCGCAAGGTAAAAAGGAGACATTCTCAGAAGACAAACTCACAAAGTGAATAAATCCCATGGAAACCAACGTTTTCTCTCTAAACTCTCTGTAAATTTTTCTATGATAGAATTTGTGCCAAAATTTCATCAAAATAAATCTCTCATCACAAGAAGAAAAGTGTCACGTATTTAATCTTGCTCAATTTATCATTTTCCTTTTTCACATGCAATTAAACTCAATGAAACTGAGCGTGGAATATTGCAAAATTTTCTGCATCAATTTCATCTCTCTCTCTCACCAGGGAAAATCACAAATGATGTGATGCATTTTGCAAGAATGTCACACTTGTTACGAAGACCACAGTGTTTTCCACACCTGCTGGCAAATATTGCTGTCGTTTGGGAAAATAAATAAATAGATATTTCCCCAAAAACACCAACACATGCGCGCTGTACATCAGCGAACGACGAGGAGCCTTTTTCTTTTCCATACAACTTCGCACAATTCATCACGACACTCCGTGAGTGCATCCACAAATCCGTCGGAGACACTTTGACGGTGCCTTTGAACTCTGGCGTAGGCCAGAAATATTGTGTAAATAAATTGGGATATCATGTGCGTTTTGCACCCAACACGACTGCAATCAACTGTCGGTGGATTCAAATGTGGCGGAAAACGCGCACCGAAGAGACCGATCATGAGAACATGAGTTTTCACAGGCGAGAGAATATTCTCACTCTGCGTTCTGCTCTCGAACACACTTTTCCTCAGTCTACATTTTCCACTCGTCCTATTAGCACGTCTTTTTCTCTCTCGCTCTGTCGTGGTGTCGGGAAAATTTATCGCCTCACAGTTCGCCTGAGTGAGGAAACACACTGTGCAATTTTTCACACTCGTTCTCGTGAAAACAGTCAGAAAGAATATTAATTTTCATCTGTCCAGCAAAAGTGGAACAATCCTTTTTTCAACACCACTCACGGACACACAGAACCAACAGAAAAAACAACAAAAATCTCATCTCAACTTTGTATCAAGTGCAATTTCGCCAGAAATATTTATCGTTTCCATTCGACTGGCAAAAACAAACAACATTGCAGTGAAATATAGTGTGAAATTGCATTGAATATTCAACGGTATGAAACTCAAATCCAATTTTATACACTCTAATAATTGTCACATAGCAATTCCATGCACACATTCCAATATATATTCCCACTATTAGATTAAATCATACTACATAATCCCAAATGGTTCGCTCGCTTACTGTACGAGAAGACATATGCAAACAAAAGGGGCTAAAATTAAATTCTCTCCTCATTGACTGGTGTTATATTTTGAGAGAAAATGCAAAAAGAAAGTGAATTTCGACACTTCCCACACTCTTGCAATTCACATTCTCAACACAAATCAATTGCATCGCATTTTATTTGTAGGTTTCCTCGGGAGTTTCCTGTCAAATAGCCTAAAAACCAACCAGCTGGAGGTGAATACAGATGCAAAAACCCTGCGTCCAATTGCTCGCCTCAAGGAGCCCCGGGATTTATTTGCATTGCCGAAAGAAAGAGACTATGACTGTCCTCAGCAAGCGGCACGATGGCCGATCGAGTGTCAGGTAAGCCAAAAAAAAAAGCAGTGAATTTGCCAAGCCAAAACAAGGAAAAATCTATCATCGCGCGCCTGAGGTTCACTGAAATCTCTAAACAGTCAAACACAAAGCCTCAGCTGTGATGATTGGTTAAAATAAGAATAGAAATTAATTATTAACTCCAAAAAAGAGTCAAAAAGAAGGCAGAGAAAGAAAAAACCACACAATCCAAAGTGACATCAATGCTAAATGGGATTTTTTTTCTCATCTTCTTCTGCTTCTCACACCCAAAAAGCCATTTCACTCCTCTATCGCCACACTAATCGCGAACACTTTCCTAGGCAGTGCCAAAAATAATTTTTCCTCAATCCTGCCTCCAAGTTTTATGCTTCTCGACAAGTCCCACCATTCATGTAATGTATCAGGAGCGACATAATAAAGAATTACAGTGCTGCTTTTATCACACCGCGTGGGCGGTACAATTCGCGTCATTTAGTATATTAAACTTGCTCCTGCATTCGACGTCGTTTATACTCAAATTTTATCGCCTATATAATCCTCCTTTCATTTGTGAATTAAATATGTATTTCTTGTGGGATACAATATTAACTCATTCACATATAATTCACATTTATTTCACCTCGTATGTCATTCAATTCGAGCTGAAATATGCATGTAATTTATCAGAAAGACAACCACACAATTTCCGTGTCTTGACATTAGATGAAAAATTAATAATATTGGGTTGAAATAATAATTGCACTGGACAGTTTTGGATCAAGAAAATTCAACGAAGAAATTCCAGTCAAATCGACCAACTGCACTGGCATAATTCCACACTATAGCGTATGATTGATATTGAAATTAAATAACAACTGAGTTGCATGTTTATAAATAATACACATATCATTGTAACGCGTATGAAGACACCAAAATCTCAATTTCGACAATTGAAATCAATATCCTTTACCCGCAGAAAGTACAGCGTTTCGTTCAAATTTGTCAGACAATCAGCAGCCAAAAATGTGAAGAGAGCATTTTAAGTGATACTCCCACAAAAGTCTCCCTTTGAAATTGAAATTACCATCAAGCGCGCTTCTCTGTTCACAAGAATTCACTGCAAAATTTCCTTTGATCTCTGGTGCTTCATCTACATCAAGACACCACGTCAGATCGGCAAGCGAAAAATTTAATATGAAACCTAAAATAATGTTTAAATTCCTCTCGCATAAATTCAAAAATTCACAAAGTCGCAGACATTGTGGCTTCTTAATGTATTCCTTTTTTCGGAATAGAAGTCAAAACAAAGGCGTGCAAGAGTCACAAGGAAGTCAAGCATATGATGAGGAAGAGAAAAAAACAGCAGAAAACTCAAAAGTCATAGAAAATTTAACATGAAAAATTATTTATTGCTCTCGTGCGTGCTTAATCTTCATTGGTTTATCGAACTTGTCTAGAGACAAAATGTTCACTTCTCACCCCCAATCGAAGAATATCGGGCTGATGTTTCTCTTCCCATACAGATATATATATATACACCCCATCAGGGTAAATAGACATTTTGTACATACATATTTTTTTTAGAGCGCAAATGTCAGTCCCCAATAAAGTGTAAAGCCACAATGCCTTTGTTTCTGCTCAGTGGGTGAGTGAAATGAATCGAAAATATCGGAATTTATGCTTTTACAACACAATTCAACAACCTCGCGACACCAACACTGCAAAAAATCCCTATGCTTTTCCCTACATTATAAGCAGAGGCAGTGAAAAGAAGAAAAAAAAAAGAACAGGAGAGCGCGCGCGATTGAAGCCTGACTCTATCGGAACTCCGCTGTAAATACACATTTCCCCGCGTGATAGAATTCAGGCAATGTTGATTGTGAGGGTTCATCGAGAGTTCGACAATTTCCGTACGACCGTTACCTAGGCGAATGTTTGGGGTATATAGTCGAAAGCACCCATAGCAATATTGCTCTCTCTCTCTCTCTGTCAAAGTATGTACACCTTTTATTTAAAGCCTACACACAAATTTCATATCAGCCAACATACATCACGACTCAGTCTATCAAGATTACTCAACGGTGTCGTACACACGCGGTGTCATCAAACCATATTCTCAAAGCGATCAGCTGCTTTTCACACGGGCGCTTTTAAAAATAGCACTCAAACACCATGTTTAATTGTCATAATTGCTCTCAGGGAAATTAGTTTCGAGTGTATCGCGAGTTAAACACCTCTGATTTCATGTTCAAATTAATTAAATCTGTTGCATATGAGAGGGAAATGAGTGTAAGAACGTAGAGAAACACAAGGAAAAATCCCACAATTTATTATTTAACTAAACCACCATTCAGAGATAAATTGCAGTGAAAATCTCCATTGTCGTCCCACATTTTTAGGTATTGGAAGAACGAATTTATCACATAGAATATGTGCCAGAAGCTCCCGAACCATACTATCAGCCAACAGGGAAGGAATTGCAGCCACGACCAGTCGGAGAGGAGAATGGAATAGTGATTTATAATTATAATCCTGTCAGTGCCGTTAATTATGTAAGTAACCTTCAAAGATTTTGTGAGGGAAAAGACATTAAGCTTCCTAACAAAATTTATACCATGCTTCACATCCCAACTTTTGGCCTCAGCCAAAACAAAGTGTCTTTATTTTCAATATAATGTTGTGTGGCTTTAATTTGTATTTCGTGCAATTAATGACATGTGCGGATAAATTAATATAAACTCATTTCAATGGCACAATTTGATTAAACACATTTTGATAAAATATTGTGCATTAATTGACTTAGCACGGCTAGTCATATTTTTTTTTCTAATGAAATCTGGCAGTGAATCTCTTGAATATGCTGAGAAAGACATAAATTCATCAGCCAGAAAGAATGTTCGAGTGCAACTATTCGATCTTTTGCAATTAAGTGCTGTTGACATTCGCTGAGTGCGGTTAAATCATTCCACATTTATTGCAAGAGAGCAATAATTTAATGTTGACGTGAAGACAATTGACTTTTCAAATTTCTTCACATGTTTCCAATAATTTATCTTGTCTCTTTCCTAACAAACTGTAATGTTTATATACTTCTCAAAAACATTTTCTTGATACATATTTGACCAGAAGTTGTTCCATTACCAAATTGAATTGATAGAAACTTATTGGCTTCTTCCTGGGAATATCTTCAGATTGACTTCAGGCCATAAATTTCTCAGGGATAAAAGTTTAACGATAACAAGAAATATTGACTAAAATGTCTCAAACTGTATTTTACATCTGCAATATAGCACAAGCCGACGATAAATCCATATCGAGGAGAAACACGTATGCCATCAATTATTCATTAAGTGCAAAAATATTTTAACGTGTTAAACATGAATTTAGTGGTTTTATGTGATCGCGCGCGATTTGCCAGCAACACCACCGAAATGAGTTTATCCACCAGGAATAACATGAATATTTATTTGGTTTAAGCCAAAAAGAAGTAATTATTAATTTACCACACAGATTTTGTGCCGTCATCATCATCAATTTGTGCAGTTTCGCTGCAGGTTGCGCGCTGTTTCACCTCTTGCTTCAAATTATGTTTATTGTTGTTTTGGGCAACAAATTAATGCAAATTTTCCAGCTAACATTTCCCTGTCTGCAAAATTATTGCTCCTCTCATTCCATTAATATATATATGAAGACATAACACAGACAATGGTGAAGCAATTAAAAGTTTAATTGGAATTATGAGAAGGGACTTTTTCCTTCAAGGAATTCATACAGAATATTTCCCAGCATGAAACATACAAACACAAAGACACAGAGAATAGGATAAATATATGGGGAGGAAACATGAATTGCATAAAGAGAAGAACAGACACAATCTATGTCATTGCCAAGTGTGACAATTCATTGCCAGACACACAATAGGTGTGTATATATTAGAAGTCTTTCTCTTCATGCTAAGCAAAAACCCCATCAGTCTCTCGCCTCTTTGTAAGTGCATTTGCCAATTGGTACAGATTTTATTCACAAACTTTCCTTCCCGGCTTTTCTCAGGTTCAGTGTTAATTTGTGTGAATTTAATTGTGCATTTGTGACAAAATTAGATTTGAACTGTTTTCTTATTCCTTGCGATTAATGAACAGAAGAATCGCAGATGTGAAATCTCACGTGAGCTTTCCCAACTGAGTGTGTGAGTTGGCTTGTAAATACACCCCTAACCACATGGCATTGATAAGTTCCTCAGAGTGATGAATGATAGAATTGCAAGACGACACGTGATACTCATGTCAATTCTCTCCCTTCTCTCTCTCTCTCTCTTTCTCTCTTTTTTTTGTCTCTAAATCTCCCCATCTGTGCAATGCACATCAATAAATCCACCACCAATCAATCAATTCAAACTGCACAATTAAAAAATAAAAATCAACAATGCATATAGTCAAATAGAGACAGTGATTCAGATTCTGACGACGATGATAGTTCAGCGACCGAGATAAATTACTCTTCAACACCGGAATCTGATGACATAAAGAGCAAAACACCGGACACAGATGCAACAGATTCCGATGAGAGTGGAGATGGCAATTGCAATGATGATGATGACGAGTGTGACGACACAAGTATCAAATGCAAAAGCCTAAAATTAGATAGTGCACAAATTAATACAGCAGACACAGCGAGATGCAACAATCTCACGAGCAACAATCTTCCACAGTTCAGTCGTTCCAGCGTTGGTGGATCGAAATATCTGCTCAATGCCCACCCAAATCCACCTGAAATTGAAGATTTAGTGTTCGAATCGCGCTTCGAGTCGGGAAATTTAGCAAAGGCTGTGAAAATAACATCAGGATACTATGAACTCTACTTAAGACCCGATATGTATACCAATCGTCACACACAATGGTTCTACTTTCGCGTCATGAATACACGGAAAAAAGTTAATTACAGGTTAGAATCAAATACCACAAAGTTAATATGCTATCGAAAAGCACTTTATATACTCACACAGGTGCACAAATCATGGAAATATTGTCATAAAATCCAACTGTCACATGCCCACAGGTTCTCCATTGTCAATTTAGTGAAGTCGGACAGTCTCTACAATGAAGGAATGCGTCCCCTCATGTACTCAACCATTGAGGCCAATACATCTCTCATCGGTTGGCGGCGATGTGGAGAAAATATCACATACTTTCGCAACGATGACACATTGTGAGTGCGCGCTGTTTTGGCCCCCAAAAAACACCATCAGCAGAAGTCATCTAATTTTCTCTTCTCTCCTCTCTCTCTTGCCCTTAAGTCCCCTGAACGATGACGATGATGAGAATGGCTCCTACACCCTCACATTCAACATAGAATTTCAGCATGACAACGACACAGTATACTTCGCCCACAGCTATCCTTACACCTACAGCGACCTCCAGGATTATCTGATGGCAATCCAACGCCACCCAGTCAAGTCCAAGTACTGCAAACTCCGACTGCTCTGCAGATCTCTGGCGGGCAACAATATCTACTACTTGACAGTCACAGCACCACAAGCGGAGGAGGAGGCAGTAAAAGTGAGTCTCAATGTTTCACTCTATTCCGGAAATCCCGTCACAATAATCTTGTGGTGTAAATCTTAAACTCACTCAGAGACATTTTCAACTTTAAGATAAGGGATTCATAGCTCACGTAGAGACATTAGAGAAAGTTCACGCTCAGATGAATATTTATTGGGTCACGAGAGGAATTCACACCCTGCGCCAAGGTGTTCCTTCCAGGCGAAAGGACATGCCAAAGATAATACAAAATTGTGAAGATATTCACTGCACTTTCGAGTCTCATGAGAGCAAAAGCACGACAGTAAATTCAAATTCTCACATCTATAAATTCATTCTAGAGGGTTATTCAACATAACAGGTCATTAATTTCCCCAAAACACACAACACACACGCACACAAAGTCATTCCACTTTGAGTGGAAACACTAAAAATAATCCCTCAAAGATATATAGCACCAAATTTCAATCAACTAAATGGCCACAAATAATACCAGCAATTTTCCTCAGTACACAGACATAAAGCTGAAAAAGCCAACAGATTTATGAAAAGCTCTTTTAATCACTTTTCATTTTACAAACTGCTACTGAAGCTCTTCCAAATATTAAATACGCCTTTTTGCATAATCACTCAGACTCGAAGGGTGAGAAAGAATAAAAAGTTGAGCCCTTAATTTTTCAGTTTAGAACGAGTAACAATAAATCAGGATTGCAAAGTTTTAGTGGTTTTTTTTAGACAGAAATGTCATGTTAACTTTTCACGACAGAGATATTAGAAAGTAATTTTATATCGATATAGTTTTTTCCCACGAGTGTCTATTTATAGAAAAAGAACAGAGAAATTGACTTGGCACATGTGTGTTCTTTTTTTCTTCCTCCTCCACCCTTATTGCAAGCAAAAGAAGAGGGCGGTGGTGGTGTCAGCCAGAGTTCATCCCGGAGAAACACCCTCGTCGTGGATGATGAAGGGTCTGATGGACTTCATCACGGGTGATTCATATGTGGCGAAGAGATTGCGTCACAAGTTCATCTTCAAGCTGATACCAATGCTCAATCCTGACGGCGTGATTGTCGGAAATACACGGAGTTCACTCACGGGCAAGGATTTGAATCGCCAATATCGCACAGTGATTAGGGAGACATATCCGTCAATCTGGTACACCAAAGCAATGATCAAAAGACTGATGGACGACTGTGGCGTCGTCATGTACTGCGACATGCACGCGCACTCACGAAAGCACAACGTATTCATCTATGGCTGCGAGAATAAGCGACAGCCTGAGAAGAAGCTCTCCGAACAGGTGTTTCCACTCATGCTGCACAAGAATGTGGCTGATAAATTCTCCTTCGAGAGCTGCAAATTCAAGATTCAGAAGAACAAAGAGGGCACCGGACGAATAGTCGTGTGGATGTTGGGTGTCACAAACAGCTACACCATCGAGGCATCCTTTGGCGGAACAACGCTGGGGAGTCGCAATGGAACACACTTCAATACCATGGTAAATTATCCCTCATCATGCTTTCCTCATGTGTAGTCTGTGTGTGTGTTTAATGAAGCCTTTTTCCCTCCCTTTCAGGACTACGAGCAACTGGGCAGAGCTTTCTGTGAAACACTCATGGATTATTACGATGAGAATCCATTGAAAGTAAATAGGCGAAAGAGATTGATGTTGAGATTGAAAAAGATTAGACGATTAGAGCGTAGATTGCGAAAGGCCAAGAAAGCACAGAAATTGGAAGAACGTCTCCTTAAGAATGCGGAAATGCAGAAATCACTCTAATTACTTTTTGCCACTTTGCCAATTTCCTCTTTTTTTTGTCTCTCTTGATTTTATTTAATAATTTCTCAACACACGCGCACGTCTTCTTTATACTTTGCATCGTCATTTTTATATATTTGATAATATATTAATTGTGTATATAGAGTTGGACATTAATTCTTGAAAGGACTTCTCAAAAAACTTTTGAGTTTCTCTATTATAGTGTAATTAATGTTTGCATCGTGACTTCGTTTTACCTTTTTACAACACTACACAACTTTGCAATCTCTCTTTCACTCTTTCTTATAATTCTTGTTGAAAACCACAGAAAAAAGATAAGAAATATATGTTTGAGAAATTCTTCTGGCACACATTGTACCTGAAATGAAATTATATACTTTTCTTCTGTTGAGCACAATTTGAAGATTAAATATTCTTTTTTGCACGATTTTTTTTTCGTTTTTCTTCTCTTTATCATTTTCCCCATCCAATTATACTCTCACGCATCTCACGAGAGATAATTGCATATTAATCTCTTTCCACAGGAGAGACTCCGCATGAAAATCCTCAATCGACTGTCAAAGGAGGGTTCAAGTGCTGATGAACCACTAAATATTCCACTGTCTGACTACTCTAGGTAAATGCCCAGATAATTTGAGCAATTAAGTGTGCCACAATAGACACACAGGCTGCAGGCATTTAATTAATTAATAATTGTGTGTGTGTGTTTCTCTGTGTTGTGACCAACAGCGATGAGGGTGACACAAGTTCTGATAGTTCGGAAAATGAAGCCAACAAAAGTATATACGAGGGACCTTGTTGCCAACCATTGAAGGTGCCACCCTCGTCTCCGGTCATGCCATCAAAGCTCAAGTGCAATAAGAAGGTACATAAACACCCGAATTATTCTGTGAAAGTTGGCACATTTCTTGGAAAATATTCACATTATAATTCCTGTCGCTTCAATCAGCCAAAGCTGTAATTGCATTTCTGGCGGATTTCAGCACAATTTTCTCACAATCTGTTTATTATATGCCATGAATTTATTATCGTTGTGCTGAAAAATGACGAATTTTCTAAGAATATCCTTTCTTTATTTCCTCCTCCAGCACTTTTATCACTATCACTACTATTTCCCCCCACAATCGAGCTACTTTAGCACCCATACAGTTAAATAATAATAACACCACGCAGAAAGACACTCTTGCATATCAAGAATATCTATTAAATTGCCATTAACAGTTCAGAAAGTCCAAATTGAAACGACCAGTGACACTGAAGAAATCACAGAAATTCCCCTCAAGGCCCATCATGGACATTCCAACCACAGATCCTGGCCTCGATCTCTGCTATTCAACCTCAGACGAGGACTACGAAACCGACGCGGATATCTTTGGGCGCGGATACAAGGGGAAATTGGTGCGGAAATCACCTCAACTCTTCACCGACACCAACATTCACATGCCACCCGAATTGATAATAACATCAACGAAAGTGAGCGCCAAGATTTCGGCGGTATTTTGCAAAATCAATGCTAACACACACATTCCTTTCCTTTTTCTTTCTCAATGTGGCCCAGAAAACCGATGATGAGCTTGGAGATAAGTCGTCAAAAATGCACGAAGGCGCAGCAACGCAATCAATATCGGAATTTCCCCCAATAAACATCAGCAAACGTGCTAAATCTTGGCACAGTTTTAATCGCTGCATGGCCACGTTGAAAATCACAAATTCCACCCAAGATGCCATCAATTACGACACCGCGGATAATCTTCAGCTGAAGCTGTCGCTCAAGAAGCAAATTTGGGCAGGAGCGTGGCCGGGAAAGAATGGAATTGATCGCTCGCGGCCACTTTCTTGGGGTGTTTCATCGCTCAGCAGCAAGAAAACCGCCGCCAATCATCCCAGAATCAATGACTACGACAGCGAGAGTCTGCTGACGGCGTGCTCGCAGAAGCTCGCCGCCTGGCAAGAGACGGAGAGACAGAATGCCGCCAGTGCGCTGGCCAGTGATAAGAAGACACCGCGGAAGCCAGCGACAGTGAATGGAAGTGCGGTGCAGGCGAAGGTGAATGAGAAAGTGGGTAAAAATAGGCGGAACACAGCCTCCTTCGTCACGCCCATCAAGTCTCTGCCAGAGGAGCAGGCCAAGAGCAAGCGAAAGCCCAAGTATGTAAAGAATTCACTTTCCCTTCAATGTCCTTCCGCGCCAAAAAGACACAAACATTGGCCGGCAAGGGCAGTTGAAGACGTAGCAAACAATTGTGTGTTTACTATAAGGCAATTATTCTGTCTCTTCAGGAGCACATTGACTAAAATAGTGAAGGCCACGGATTTCTTCACTCACCTGGCTAAGGCGAAGCCAAAAGGTCGTGACGTGCCAAGTGCAGCACTTCTGGCGCCGCAGAACTTCGTCGGGGCCCTCGTGCCCTCAGCCAACCACCTGGGCCACAAGCCAAAGTCACCCAGCAAGTTCCGGACGGGCGCTATCGTCGTCACGGCTGTGCAGCCGGGCAAGAAGTCCAAGAAGATGCGTCCGGCGCGTCACAAGAACCGCGACACTTCCGACAGCGATTCTGAAAATGCCAAGACATTCGTCAGGAAGGTGCGGACGAAGATCAAGCGGAAAAAGAGCAAGAGCAGCAAGCAATAGGCATTAGTTATTGTACGTATCCCTGAAATACAAGTCCTTTTTATCAAATTCCCACACGCGAAATCAGATATTCGCCCCCTGGCCATAGATTTCATAGTTACGTTTTTCCCTTGGCGACTTTTCACCGCCTCAGTGCATCGCAATTAGCACGGTAGCAAGTGAGAATGACTCGTCAACAGAGGCAGAACACTGTGAATGTCGCTTCAATGGCGTGTGATTGAGTCTTGAGGTGAAAATAAGAGAAATTATTCGAGGAGAAAAGTGACGAAAATCCACGAGAAAATAAAACACACTTTGACAGCTCGCTCTTCTGATTTTGCAATCTCACGACCACAGAGCCATCTGGCAGCTCAGCGGGATGGCAGCGAAGACACATTGGTCACAGGAACAGTTGGATTTGAAGCGCACGGTTCGTTGAAGACTTCGGATTTGAAGCGGCGGATTTCGTCACGCCGCTGGTTTTGAGCGCTCAGACGTCAGAAAAGCCTCCAAATATCGCAGATTTCATTTGTTGAAATAATTGTGTTTAGTCTAGATTACGCAAATATTTCTACAGATTAATAACTTTTGATAACTTCAATTTATTATCATTATGATAGGGTTTATGTGTCAATAGAGCTCATCAGTTATCTGTGTCAATATGCACTACCAAAGTATTTGGATATCGCTCTGATTCCAACAAAGCAGATTGGGACGACGTATTGTTTTCCGGATCGAATTGCTCAGCGATCTATAAAACGGGTAAAAAAAAAAGCAATTATTACAAATTAAGACATTCGCATATTGCAATTCTAATTACCAGTGAAGTTTTGTCATTTGAAACACACAGAATTTTATCTCCCACATGAATAGATTTAGAACAACCATTTTCGTACGCCGCCTTGTCCACTCTCCAAGAATCGGATTTTCCGGACATGGAAGCACATTACTACGAGATGATTTGCGACAGTCACTCGAACTACTTGAACCGAGCCACGAAGTATGAGGTGTTCGGTAATTTCGGATCAGCAACAGTACCTTTTCATGTTCCTCTGGGGTACCGCAGACTGCTGCTGAGCTTAGTGCCGATATGTAAAGAAATCATGAAGAACACTCAGCATTAAACCAAGGAAGCCAAGAAATGAATCACATGAAATCCGAAACATGTTTCACTGAAATACACAATAAAGCAACAGAAACATAATCTCTTAATTCTATCATTTTCGTTTAATTTAAGATAATGTGCTGTTTTTCTAAACTCCAGCATTTTCGGACTCCAATTCAACCAAAACCGTGGAAAGAATGAATTTCATGATAAAGCAGTCTTTTATTGCTGGCTGTTGGGATGCGCCGGGAAGAGATGCATCATGTTGGGGTGCTGCTTCTTGAAGTGACTCCTCAGAATCGTGACGCTGCGCATGGTCTTCTGGCAAATTGGACAGTCCGCTTTCTCGCGCTTCTCGTGGATCTTCAGGTGCTTGATCAGGCGCAGCTTGGTGCTGTACGACTTGCCGCAGTAGCTGCAAATGCCGCCCTCCACGTGCATCAGGGAGTGCTTCCGCAGCTGCGAGGTGACTTTGAAGCCCTTCCCGCACACCTCGCACAGGTGCAGCCGGGATAGCGGGCTGGACTTGTCCGGATGAGCGGTCCTGATGTGGTTCTTCATCGAGCCCGTGATGTAGAACTCCTTGGGGCAGAACGGACACTGGCAGACCTTCTTCTTCAGATGCTCCTTGTAGATGTGCGTCCTCCTGGCCGTCCACCAGAAGAACTTCTCGCCGCAGTGCTCGCACTCGTAGCGCTTGATGCCGTTGTGATAGTCCATGTGCTGCACATAGTGGCTGCCCTTGATCATCTTCCCGCAGATCTTGCACGGATTCGCCACCTGATACAGCACATTCGAGCCCAGAGTGACTTTTTTCACTTTCGGCTCCTTCGGCTGAACTTTCCGCGGGGCTTTTCTCTTTCCGCGGCATCGGTGCTTCCGGAAGATCTCGAATCCCTTGAAGACGAGCTTGCACCGCTTGCAGAGGATTTTGCGCGTGTCCTCTTCCCCCACAGTTTCCTCCTCGCTCACCAGTGACATGACCACTTCCTGGTCAGGCTCGTCAGAAGCGTCTGGCACATCAGGATTATTCTCCTGGTCGTCCCGGACAGTCTCTTCAATGATTTTTTCAGGCTCCTTTTGCACCTCCTTCTCATCAATCGACTCCAAATCACTCAGTTTCCCTTCCGTTTCCAGGCATTGCTGGCGAAAGTTGTAAGCATTGATCATGTTCTCCTCGCAAATCCTGCAGATCTGCGTTGGGAAGGACTTGTAATTTTTCAAGACGACGCCGGTGACGGCGAAGTAGATGTTTCTGTAGGTCAGTGAATTGTACAGCGTGCCGCACATGTATTTCAAGGGCTCATCGCGTGACTGGAGACACAATCGACACACTGACCAATCTTCCGTGCCTGCCATCGTGTTAAATGCAAGAAATCCTCGAAGGAATCACAAGAAAAATCGCACCGATTGAGTCCATCAAAATCCAAACACAAATGACAGCTGATGATTTCGTGAAACTTTCCCGAAACTGAAACATGCCTTCGCGCCAATCGCATGAAGCATAAGCCCGATTCCTTCTTTTTTTCCAATAAAACAGCAATTTTTCCTCTTTTTCAATTACTCAATAATTGTTCTTACAGTTCTACTGATGCGGGAGTGAAATCCTATGGCCTTAGACAGAGTTCAGCGCCTTCTCCACCATGTCGCAGGTGCTGCTCATGGTGAGTGGCACGGTGATCTCCGAGTGAACGTTCTCCGTGTGCTTCCGGAGCTGCGCGTTGGTGCGGAAGGCGTTGGAGCACAGCGGGCAGATGTGCTTCTTTGTGGTCGTGTGGAGTGCCATGTGGTGCTCGAAGGTGCGGATGTTCTTCAGCTTCTTGCCGCAAATCTCGCACGTGACCTCGTCCGTGTGCTGCTTCATGTGCGACGACAGGCTGATGCTGGAGTTGAGCTCCTTGCCGCAGCGGTCGCACTGGTAGACCGAGGGATTCGTGTGCTTGTCGCGTATGTGGTTCGTGCGGCGGTTCTTGTCGTAGAAGCCCTTACCGCAGTACGGACAGTGGCAGGAGGGCGTCTTGAGGTGCTCGCGGTGGATGTGCGTCGTGCGCGTGACCGTGGAGTTGAACTCCATATTGCAGTAGTTGCAGCGATGGCGAATCTTGCGCTCTGTGTGCTGGTCCAGGTGTGCCATGAAGTACGACCGCCCGATGAATGTCTTGCCGCACTTGTTGCACTTGAAGAAGGCTTCGCTCTGCTCCTCACTGTCGGCATTCTGGTCGATGTAGGTCTTGGACTTGCCGCACAGGTGCGTCCTGAATGTCTCCATCTCATTGAAGAAGCCCTTGCAGATCTTGCAGCGAATCTTCAGATTCACGTCCTTCTCCTCCTGAACACCACTCACCACTTCATGCTCGTCCACCTGCTGAGCGGTCTCCTGGCCGGAGAACCGCATGCGCTTTTCCCTGGCGGGATATAAGTGGGCTTCGGCACTCTTCGCGGTGGTCAGTTCATCCAGAGCGGCCACAAATTCAATGGTCTTCGAGCCACTCTCCTCCTCCGCTCCCTTGAGATCCTTCAGCTTCTCCTCCGTGTCCAGACACTTCCGACGAAACTCGAACGCCCGCAGCATGTCGTTCTCGCACTGCGGGCAGATCTTCATGGGGAATGTGGAGTAATCCGTCAAGTTTATGCCCACAACGCTGAAGTAGATGCTGAAGTAGGAGGACGCCTGGAATGTGCTCTCCGTCATTGCTTTCAGCGGCTCCTCACTGGATTCCAGGCACAGCCGACACATTGTCCACTCGCCCATGGCTTTTCCACACGATTTTCCCTCTGTTTTTGTGCAATTTGCAAAATTGTAAATATTGCGATTTTGACGGCTGTGTTATATCAACAGGATTGCGCGCAGCGCCACCTTCGCAAATTCACAACAAGTTATAAATAATTACAGCGCGCGCTTTTGCGTCTTCGCTGCGGACCGTGTCGATAATGCAGGGTAATTCGTGAGGAAAATTTTGGGAAAAAATCATTTTTTTATGCAAATTTAATGATTTTGAATGGAGGTCACTCACAACGGTTGGCCACGAGATAAAATCCACAATCGCCATGGAGTAGGTCTATGAGATAATTTTCATGGGAAAAAGGGGAAAAATCGCGAAGATGTCCTGCAATGAAGGGCGATTGTGGGGCAATTGTAGACTTTCCGGTTTCTCATAGTGCCATTTGTGATCAACCAGGATCAACATATTCACAACATTGGCAGGAACTCGAGTTTCCCTTCTCCTTTTCTTCGCATGTTGTGCTTCTTGCTTTGTGTTCGGTGCGCATCTCGGGTCACTGTCTCGCTCTCCGCCCAAGCCTTAGCGGAGCTGCGAAAGTGTAGATTTTTCAGTGTACGACTAGCCTCTAGACTTCACACTAGCGCACAAGAGCGCACTCAGGGCAGTTCACTGGTCAGATTCACCCTCTGGAGCGGGGTTAGGTGGTGGAGTGAGTGTCGGGAAGTGTGACCAGAGGTCTGAGGAGTGGCAGGACAATGCGGTGCATCGTGAAGGACTGCGAGAACAGCCTGAAAAACTGTCCGCCCGGAGTGACATTTCACAGGTAGGTCGTCTTCTGCGCGTATCTTGCCTTCGCCGTTCCGCCGTCACCAGGCGGCTAGACTATGTTGAGACGTGCCGCGGCGGAAAGAGGGCTCGATGGGGGGCAGAGAGCCGGAATAGCTTTCTGGAGATATCTCTCGTTCGGCCGCTATGGCCTGTAGAACTTCAGGTGCGCTCCGCATAGCTACACTATTATGGATCGCATCGCACGCAGGGCCGCACTCAGGCGCGCGCTTTCCTCTCCATAAAATCCCCACAAAAATATGCTCATTGTTTGGCGTGTGCGTTGCAGATTCCCGCAAGATGTTAGGCTGTCGCGCAAGTGGAAGATTCTCATCGACGTGGGCCCCAATTACATGTGCAAGGAGAAGGATCGGGTGTGCAGCGACCACTTCCTGGAAGAGAACTTCGAGTACAGGCGGTTCAGAGACAAATTCAAGAAGTACCTGAGGACCAACTCTACGCCACAGGTAGAAAAAAAAACATCTCCATTTAAGGCTTCTTCAGACGCAAAGACAAGCATAAATAGAGAATAAGAATGAGGAAATGCAATGAAAGGAACTTTTGTAGTGGGCAAAAAACATACTTTTTAATACAAATTTCGATATTTCTCACTTTCATGTTGAACAAGACATTAATTAATAGTAATTAATTAAAAAATCTTCCGTTTTCAAAGCGAATCCGAAGCCGTCGAGCGGTTTTTCAGACTCTCTTTGTCGAAGAACTCAATTCTTTAGGGAGTTTAGAAAGACCAGAGCTTTTTTCTTGTCTAAGAATCCTTTTCCCGATACCCTTCTAGACGGACAGAAGAAGAAGAGTCCGTTTGATGGATTAGATTTCCTTCGTTGTGAAGGATTTCTTGAAAATAAGTTTAACGGATGAAGAGAAACGCAAAGCAACTTTGGCTTTATTGTTACAGGCTTTTGAGTTACAAAATTCAATGAGAAACGAATCTTAACCCCGGGAAATTGAGTAGTTAAAGCTGAGGTTAAGACCTTCGTTGGCAAAGCCAGAACAAAGTGTCGAAGTTACGATCTGGAAAAGGTCAAAGTTCCTGCCTTTATTGACAACGACAAATTTCAGTTCTTTGTGAACCAATTCGAATGAATCTCAGCTTTTGTTCTCTCTTTCTCTCTTTAGCCGCTCTTTGACATGCACCTGGACGAGTACAGAATGCAGATGCTGGAGAATGAGGAGCTCTATCCGTACGTGGAGGAGAACTTCGTCACAGAACCGATGCCTGAGCCTCCCATCGCTGTGGGGATGGGAAATGGTCAAATGTATGCGCAGCAGAGCAATCAGCAGCACACGAGCAGGAATATCTATGCTGCCGGAAGCAGTTCTCAAGGATTCGTAAGACTTCTGCTGATCGCAGATTGATTGTTTTTGTCTAATGTCACTTCTATTCTTGTGTAGGCTAGCAATGCTCCGAAGCGATCCTTGCCCTTCACCGATCCTGCTGCGCTGCCGAAGAAGCTGCGACCGTCGAATTCTCACACAATCACCCAATCTATGATGCAGCCTGTGGATGAGACCACAGCACTGAATGTGGAGTGTGAGATTGAGCTGGAGAAGGTGAAGATTGAGAGCCTGAGCGAGTTGTTGTCGGAGTTGAAGGAGAAGAACTACATCAGTGAGGACATTGCGGAGGTGCTGAAGGACACAATTGGCTTCAATGAGGATCTCTTCGATGACTCCATCAAGATACTGGACTTCAAGGAGATCCCGGAGAGCTTCCAGCCAGTAATGAAGGATTTCGCACTCACGCTGGACTTCTATGCGCCCAAAGCATATCGCTACATTTTGAGTGAGTACAAGAGCTTCCTGCCGTCGCCGAGGGACTTCGCGGCGTGGTATAGGAGCAGCGAGGCGGATCCGGGATTCACGCAGGAGTGTCTGGACACGATATCGGAGCTGGTGAAGAGTGAGGCGGAGCAGGGATTGAATGTGTTGTGCCAGTTGACGTTCGATGAGAAGGAGATCTGGCCGCAAGTACAGAAGATTGGGGACAAGACGTATGGCTACTGCACCACGACGACGGCTGACAAGCCGTCGAATGATGTGGCGACGAAGGTGCTGCTGTTCATGCTGGTGGACATGAATGGGGCGTGGAAGATGCCAATTGGATACTTCCCGATGACGCACTTGAGCTGCGACATGCGACAGAATCTGATCGAGAAGGCGATAATCAATGCCGAAGACACCGGAGCGAAGATCATGGGGGTGACTTTCAAGGGGGATCACGTGAATTTCTCCACCATGAAGCTCATGGGAGCGTCCTTTGCCATGGACGAGCCCGTGTTCAACATACGGATTGGCGATAGTGGCAAGAGATACTTCATCTATCCGGATCCCTTTGACATGATACAACGAGTGAAGAATACCTTTGTGTTTGAGAAGTACATCTTGGATGGGGAGGGAAATATTGTGGATTATTCGTACATTGAGCAACTGTTGCAGCTCTTTGACGAGTGGGAGCCGAACTCCAGCAGCAGCAGCAGCTATTTTCACAGGAAGAAGGTGAACATGCACATTGCGTCGCACTTGCTGAACAAGGCCATTGCCGATGCCCTGGATCACTTCCGTGCCAGCAGTAATCAGACTTTTGGCGGCTGCGAGGCGACTGGGAGATTCATTCGCATGATGAGCAACATCTATGACATGCTGAAGAACAACCAGCAAGCCAATGGTGAGACGAGCAATACCATGTTGATTGGCAATTTGAAGAGAATCAAGAGTTTCTGCGACAACGCCCAGAAATATCTCTTCGATTTGTGTCTGTTGTCGAATGTTCAGGCATCTTCCGAAGCGGATGAGATTCGCTATACATTTTCGGAGAAGGAATCACTGATTTGTTCCGCCAAGAAGGCTGGCTTCCTGGGATTGTTGATCTGTCTGGAGAATTTGCCGAAGATTTGCGCAAAGGCAAAGCCAGACATTGACTCGCATGGCTTGAAGACGTACTTCCTCAATCAGGACTCCGTGGAGCAATTCTATTGCTCCGTCCGGACAAATCTCAGCTCCAACACCAGCCCGTCAATCCTCCAATTCCGCGATGCCTACAGGAAGTTGATCACCTGTGCGCAGATCATCAGGGACAACAAGGGGACGTGCATTGCCGGCACGGAGAGTGTGAAGGTGTTGTTTGTCAATCCGGCGCGTTGTCTGCAAGTCATCAATGGCGTACGCACGGCGAGTGTCTTCGAGACAATCAAATACTCATTCAAGGACGAGGGAGAGTACGAGGATGTCATCACGAAGCACTTCCGCACGCACGATGAGATCCTCGATGAGGAGGACTTCAAGGATATCTCATTTAAGCTGGGCGAAATTGAGCGAGAGAACTCCTCCGCCGGCTCAACGTCTGCAACGTGTCGCAAGATGCTCGTCATCTACACCACGGGATTGCTGGTGAAGAAGCTCCTGACCAAGTCCAAGTGTCAGGACTGCTCGGCGATAATTGTGGACGATTCGGAGGGAAATGCGAATGCCAATCTCTTCGAGCGCTACGGATTCTTCTATCCACCCTCGAAGTTTGTCGTGGACGTTTGTGAGTTGACCGAGGAGATCCTCCAGGGTGAGATTCAGTATCTGGGCATTAATTTCATCTACGAGAACAGGCATGAGAACGAGATGATCTCCCAAGTGACGAAGCACTTTGATTACGAATGTCTCCACTTTACGCTGAGCAAGTGTCACAAGTACAGCATGATTGAGTTGATTAGTGGACTCTTCCTGAAGGTGAGGATCTTCCATGAGTTGAATAAGAAGTCCGACGAGGCCGACATGAAGAATGTGTACAAAATTTTGGTACATTTTGAAGAATTGTGAATAGATGATTGGCATGTGCGAACTGGAATTATGTTCAACCGCATGTGAGTGTTATTTATGAATAAATAGTGCTTGAAAATAGGATAATGAAAGGCTGCTTGAGTGACTCTTGATTGGGAAATATACCCCCTGATACGCCCACTTCTAGCCGCTTCGCTGAGTTAGTGCCGCAGCGCGGCGAGCCAGTGACCCCTGAAGCTGAGAGACGCGAGGCTAAAGTACGTTTTCTCTTCTATATTATACGCTTATGGCCTAGATATGCTTACAAATTAATGGTGATAATTATAAAAAATAATCATTAATTTCTCTGCGACGCAGAATCGTGGCCCATCGCTGCTGCCCGGGCAGCTGCTGGACTCCCGGACACTGGCGACGGGGCGACTCGATGGTCCCTGCGATGCTCGAGAAGGTTGTCATCGCGGCCTGCCGGACGGCAGGGCGTCTGAAGCATTTGGGGGGCGCTCCGTGGCGGAGAAGCGGACAATGTGGAGTGATGCTTTGGGGAGATGTTCAGGGCTGGGCCACTCTGCCCATGGGACTAGCGCCCACGTACGTGGGATTGCTGAAGGCGTCGCGCGGGAATGCGCTGTGCATGTTGATGACGGTGGATGGCACGTTGACGTAGTTGTCCTTCGTGTCGATGGAGGTGCGCGGCGCCGGCTTGGGGCTCAGCTCTGGCTCAGAGTCCGAGCTCACGGCGCTGGTGCTCTTCAGCAGCATTGGGATCTCCTCGGGCAGGCCGGGCTTCTTGCGGTTCTTCTGGGTGGAGGGACTAGAGGTGTTGAGGTTGTTCGCCAGTGTCGGCGAGTGCTTGGAAGTGCTGGGGCGCGCACTGAAGGCCACACTGCCGCTCTTGGGGCTCATCTGCAGATAGCTGGCGGACGAGGAGTCTGGTGGCGGCGGCGCCTCGTACATCACGTCGCGATTGACGTAGGTCGGCACGGGCGGAGCGGCCTTGTCTGGCGGTCCCAGCATCGCCAAGTAGTCCTTCTGACCAGTCCGAAGGTATTCGCTGTTCATCTGCAGGTAGGGCTCGTTCAGATCCACATAGTGGCTCCGAACGCTCTCCTGCAGCATGTTGCTCAGTCTTGTCTCGAGATCCGAAAACAGGGGGCGACTTTCTGGATTGGCGCACCAGCACTGGAGCATCACGTCATAGCTGAAAGCACAGATAGCATGAGAATGTGGACGAACTGACGCCTCTCCTGACTTCTCACTCACATTTCCTGGTTGGCACACAGTGGCTTGTCCATTCGGTAGCCATCCCGCAGCTTCAAGTACAGCGTCTGGTCGGCATCCATGCCCGGATAGGGAACCTTGGCCAGGGAGAAGAACTCCCACAGCACTATGCCAAACGACCAAATGTCTGAGTATGTGCTGAACACCTGATCACTGATGGACTCCAGGGCGAGCCACTTGAAGGGCAGCGGCGCCTTGCCCTGCTTCTTGTAGTTGTTGCTCTTGTACATGCTCCTGGCCAGACCAAAGTCGCAGATCTTCACCACGTTGTCGTCGCACAGGAGAATATTCCTGGCCGCCAAATCCCCGTGCAGGATATTCCGCGACGCCAGATAGTCCATGCCTCGCGCCACCTGGAAGCCCCAGCAAACCAGATCGGACGTTGTGACGGTCCTGGCGGGACCCTTGTAGTCCATGCGGTAGTTCGATCGCCACACGGGCTGCACGGAGTTGTTCGAGAGAACCATGTTGTCCTCGCCGCCTAAACAAGTTAGTTTTGGGTTAGTTTAGGGTCAGATTTTGGTCAGAAGGCGGTTACCTTCGGCATAGGCCGATATCAGCGTGGCTTCTGTGTTGCAACTGTCCATTCCGCCGATGAACGTGTCCATGCCGGAGTGCCTCAGGTATCCCTTGGAGTTGATGTGCGACGCCGGCCCATCGCCCTTCTTCGACATCATGGATGGCACCCTCCGTTCCTCACCCTTACTATTGTTGTTGACGTGGTTATTGGAAAAGGACAGTTTAAGATATTTTAATCCCTGGCTGTGAGCATTTGGATTAGCGTACACACAGAGACACAATGCATAGTTGAGGTGCGCATTTGATTTGATTGTGGATGCAAAAAGAATAAATTCCATTCGTTAGTCACATACCAGACACCAATTTTTAGTCATGAATAGATTTTAGTTCAATTACTCATGGTTACACATGTCATTCCTATTGGGGTTTTTTGGGGCTATTTTCTACACCTTTAACACCTACCAACGCCTACGAAAGCTCTCGTGATACCTTTTCTTGTCTTGTTACCCTCTTTGCAGCCCAGGAGGAGGTCATTAGGAATGAGAACCATGATAGAAACCACCGAAAGCTCCTACAAATCTTACCTATTATACTCATACCCGCTATCGTGTGACCATCTCTGCTCGGGCGTGAGAATGGTGGGGTCAATTTCATCTGTTTCCTGGTTGATTTGGTTGATAAAATAGTCTCGATGCTTCAGAAGGAAGTTCTGCACGTTGCCGAAGCGACAGTACTCCACAATCACCATTACTTCTCCTGCAAGTGAAATGACCATTGCGTGATTGTTTTCTCTGATGATTTGCATATTTCTCACTCATGCAATGCAGCATTGAGACTCACTTTTTGCAATGTTCTTCGTCACGGCGCCCAAGAGATTCACAACATTTAGATGTTGGCCAAGATGAACCATGATCTTGAGTTCGGAAATGAGTGCTCTCATGACCTCGTTGTCTGTGTTCTTCTTCACCATCTTCACCGCCACTGTCGTCTCGTCTTCGTACGGCAGGATGCCTTGGGCCACACCCTTGACCACCACTCCGAAGGCTCCGGCGCCCAATTGCTTGCCTAGCTTGAGTTTCTCGCGTGGGAACTCGAAGTGCTTGTCGTACGGCAGGAGATCGGCTTGCTCATCGAGCGCCAGTGCTGGATTTATCTGCTCCGGACTGCCCTCCTCGAAGTTCGCCAGGCCCGCTTCTTTCATCTCATGCAGAAGACGCCGTGTGCGACGCATCCGCACGCAGAGGATGACCAGAGAGATGAAGAGGATGAGCAGCAGTGCTCCGATGCCAATGAACCATCCCTTGTTCAGGCCCGGCATGTCGGAGATCTTCACTGAGATCTCCTGCGAATCCGATCCCAGCTTGTTCCTTCCCTCGCACTTGTACACTCCTTGATCCTCAGGCTTGATGTACTTGATGTGCAGAGTCGTGTTGTCGTTGTACAGCTCAATGGTGGAATTGGTGCCGGGCTTGTAGACAATCAGTTGATCATCCTTGTACCACTGAACTCTGGGCTTCGGCAGTCCGGCAAAGAAGCAGTCCAGCGTGAGGAACTCCCCGAGATTCCTCATCATCTCTGATCCCTCCATGGAAGTCTGCTGCAGCTGAGGTGCGATGGGATCATACGCCCTGACATCGATGTACTTGCTCTCCTGGTGATCCTCATTGAGCAGCGTGCCGCGGCACTCGTACGTGCCTGAGTCACTCTCCGAGATGCTCTTCCACGTGATGGTGCTCCGGTAGGAGTAGTCAGTGTGTGAGTCAGTGATGGTGATGTCACTGGTCGACTCCACAGGCAAATCGCCTCGATACCAGTGCAAAGGCCCCGTGAAATTGTACACGAGTGCTCCGCAGTGAATGCTGCACTCGTCGCCAACCGACACCGGGTACTTATCGTCAACGCCCCAGATGGCTAGCGACTCCTCCAGATCTCCCACCAGCACCTCAGCAGACACAGAGTCCTCACCCTTGATGTTCTTCGCCCTGCACGTGATCTTGCCGGGCTGCGTTGGGGTGAATCTCAGCTGAGACTGCTGAAAGAGGGATGAAGATGACGTGGTTTTCACCTGGTTGTCGCCGAAAGTGATGGCATCCGCTTTGTCACACGTCGGCCACTTCGGAGCGATGATGCAGGGCGTGTAAGTCCACTCGATCTCCGACGGTGGATAGCCAGCGCAGTCACATGTGACCAGAGCCTCATCATTTCGCATCACATAGACATCTTTCACATTCACCGTTGGCTTCTCCTCCACAATCAGCTTCACTGTGATGTTGCGATCCACCATTGTGTTGTAGGCCTTCAGCATGTACTCTCCGGAGTCCTTCAGCTCGATCCTCTTGATGCGGAAGATGCACTCGTTGTCCCTGATCGTCACGGTGTACTTGTCCTCAACGTCTCCCCAGGAGGGAATCTCCTTGCCCTGATTGTCGTACCACGCGAGGTAGATGGGCCGCGGGTAGCCGGTGTAGTGGATGATCCACTGCACTGATGGTCTGTTGGAGTTGGTCTTGATGGTGTATCGACCGCTTGGTTCACTCATGTTTATGAATCCTTGATTGGGATCTGTGCCAAAAGACAAACAATAAATTCAGAAGAAGTCTATTTACGGATTTCACCTTCACTCACCGAGAATCGTGATTCTCTTGTTATTCGAATTGGACTTGCTGGAGTGATCTGTGACTTTGCAGATGTACAATCCTTGATCCTTCGCCTTGTCCATGTTGTTGATGATAAGCTTCGACCGGCCAATTTGCATGGTGTTGTCTGACGGACTGAATTCCTTCGTTGGTCCCTCAATCACCACTCGATTCTCCTGACAAAGAAGGATTCCAGAGAGTGATTATTCGCTTCCTAGAAACCCAATCATCAGCGTCAAACTCACCTCCTTGGCGACATTGTCGTTAGGCAGATCCCATTCCATGGTGAATGCGACTCCAACTCGCATATCCACCGTGCAATTGAGCTCCAATTTGCCTCCTTGAGTGGCATGATCTCCCGTGTGAGATGTGATTCTGGGCTTACTGACAAACTCCGTGGCGGCTAATTGGACAACATGATCTTCATTAGTGCCAAACTCATGGGGGAATATTTCCCCTATGGAAAGTTGCCATATAAGAAGAACATTAAGCTACCAAGAATGTGTTGCATTTCTTCAAAATAAATTAGCTTTTGAATTACCATATGTGCTGCTTTGTTATATGTTGTGTGGATGAAAAGTGTGGAATTTCAAGCGCAAATTCATGCAGAAAAAAACAGCCGCAATCTCAACATAAATTAGTACGAGTTTAGTCAAAATGCTGTTGCATGGAAAATTGTGGTGATTTACTTTATAACACATGCAATTTTCATATAGTCACACAAGCAAAAGTCGTCCTTTCTCTCCACAGTTCGCTAATTACAAACGCACAAAATCACACTAAAGCCGCACAAACTAATGGTAAAATAGGTAGAGAATATCATTTTCACCAACTACTAAACATATACAATCATGCAGAGCGTGCTCCTAATTTCCCTCCTTTTCTGCTCACTTTTTTAAACAGGCACAAAAACGGTGGGAAGGTAATTTAACCACTCGCTTTAATTAAGAGGTGACTCATTCCAAAATATTTTGTACTTCACACTCAACAAGAAAGACTGAATATTGTTGGATTTATTTTTGTGGTTGCGTGGATTAAATGTGTTGGATTATGTGTGTAATTTTCTCTAAAAGATTGTGATGAAAGTTTTCCACTTAATTTCCTGTGTTGTAGTTGAGAATTCAGGAGAGATTTAAGTGAGATGAATGAGTACAGAGTGTCCCAAAACTTCCTAGAATATGTGTGTGTGTTTGTGTGCAGAACACCTCTTCAAAGCCACACTGTTTATCACTTCTCTGTGGGATATTTTTATTCAGGAATGAAAGAAAAACCATATAAAAGTTCGTAGCATAAAATGTGTTTTCTCTGAGTCAATTTGTGTGAATTTTGAATAAAAATACTTTTCTGCTCAGTTTTCGCAGTGAGGCAAAGAGAAGAAGTTCAAATGTACTTTGATCATGACATTGAAATTGAATTACCTCTGCAAATGGCAATTTTCAGTGTTGTTTCTTTTTGTTTGTTTGTGCAATTCAAGCAAAAATGGTGACACAGAAAAATTCTCAGTGTGCAAAAAAAAGAACACGGAAGGACAAGACAGAAGTGGGAGAAAAAAAGCCAAAACAACGACTAGACAACAGATAGGAAAGAATTACATCTTCTCATTGAGTTCTTTTCACTCCATGTTAGCGACACTGGAGACACACGCGGGTGAGTTGCGAGAGTCTTTGGAAGTTTAGGCCTAAGAGTTGATTTGATAGCAGATGGAATGCTTGTAGTTATGATTGGGGAGGAGGGTGTTGATGTGCCCAAATCCCCAGCGACACCACTTAAACCTCCACCAGAGGAGCAATTGGAATCTGTTGTATTGAGTGACTCACAATTCGAGAACACCTCGATATGATACAAGTGCTCTTCGCTGGCCGAGTCCTTGTTGGCCATGCTGGCCACGCACTTGTACACACCCCCGTCGGTGAGGTGGTTGATTTGGATTGTGAATCCGTTCTTTGGGTCAAAAGACGCCTCAGGCTGTTGTGACTGTGCGGGGTTGAATGTACAAGAATTAATCATTTCATGGTTTATATACAATTCACTTTACACAACGAGAGCCAATGAAAAGCTCTCTTTTATGCAAAACAAAGGAGTGTGAAAATTTCTTCCAAATTGATCAGGAGTCTGTTAAAATGTATTAAGAATCATAATTCTTTAGACTTCTTCACCAAATTATTGTAATTAATTTGGCTGAAAAGAGCACAAGAAATTTCCACACTCCTCAATATATTCTCTTGCATATAATAATTGTTCAAGACAGCAGAATAGGATTAGTCGGATTAAGTCGCCATATATATATATATAGAAGAAATTAATGTAAGAAATGGTTTGAGGAAAAACATACTGTGGATCATTAAAAAATAGTCATGGCTGTCATTGCGGGATTGATTCCGAAAGATGCATTTGTACTTTGACATTCTGTCCGCGAGTATTCTGAAACCTTCTCGCGGATCATAAAACGATGGCAAATTATTCTTTTTTTTTGTTCAGTCGCGAGGATAGAGAAAGAAAGACAAAGAGAGAGAGAGAGAGAGAATAGAGTGTGTAAGTATTGTGGCAAATGATGAATTGTGTACCTCATCTTCGGCTTTCACCAGCTCAACCTGGACATTCTTCGATGTGGGCTTGCAGGGAATTGTGACCTCTTGGTACTGAACGGCCGACGCCACGGGATTCAAGATGGGCACCATGAGTGACTCGGGATCTGAAGGAGAGTGCATGTGGTGAGAAATGAGCGCCTATGGCATGTGTGCCTCTGATGGCCACTCACCGTCGACAAACACATAGATCTTGGAGCTGTGATAGGGATTGTCGAGGAACTCGGCCTCCTGGCCGGGCAGCACGAGACGCCTGGTCTCCTCGCGCAGGCAATAGTAGTATCCCACGTGGTTGTGATTGACATTGATGAGCTTCATGATGCTGCCGTGCGGCCGATCGGCGATGGGGACTGAGTGTGCAGTGATGGTGAATGAGGTGGGATCCAGGTCGTGCATCGTGAACCACGTGACGGGATACTTGGATGAGCAGCGCAGTGTGTAATTCGAGCCCACGTCCAGTGTCACGTCCTCATCGTGAGGCTCAATCAGGGGCGCTTCGAACTGAATGCTCAGTTCGAAGTTGGTCAAATCGTTCTCATCATCAACAAGTTGGGCTGCAAGAGTGTGAAGAGAGAAAAAAGAGAGATTTGGTGTATTTAGTGTGACTGTTTTGGGGCTTTTCTATCTCCCTTTCATCCTTATCCAGACTCTGGAGTACAAACTTCCGTCATTTTCGCTTCTGCTCCCCGTTTTTTCTTCATCTCTCAATGGAACACTACCAACGAGAAAGTATTGTGGGCAGAGTCAAAACAAGACTTTCTCAATGGGAGTTAATGTGTATAATAATCACTTGACAGTGAGCAATTATCATGTCCCGAATGCGGAGGAAGCCGTCTATCGACATTGCTACTTCCGCACCCGAAGAAAGTCCACGAAAATCGTAATCTCATTCCAGTCGAACAATTGAGACAGCATTAAGATAAAAGAGTTCTTTTTTTTGTATGCTGCAGCAGAACACTCAAAAGTTCACACAATGGGAAATTTATCACAACATTAGATGTGATTGTAATGTCTCATTGTGTGTTTTGGGGGAAAAAATGATGGACATTTGTTCAGTCCAGAGTGTTTATCGTGAATGGCGAGGAAGGAGGAGAGTTGTACTGAATGAGTGCTTAAAGCATTGATTGTTTCATTTCATGTCAGTGGATAAATTGTAAATAAAATTCCATTTTTTTGCAATGCGCCTTATCTAATCTCGTGCGGATTTGATTTAAATTCCGTCCTATTTCTGAACTCTTCTGATCCCTTTAATCCCTTTCGCGGCACACATAATGGAAATTTAGAAAATATCAGACCTTCTAAACTCGGAAATGTCTCAAAAACTCAATGCATGCATCGCGTGAAATAATGCTTGATTGATGGGGCGCACATGCGAGCTATAGTGGAAAGTTAAAATATCGTTATTGGATTTTATACTAACAAATTTAGAATTTGTGCCGAGAACATGGTGTGAAAGATCATCCACACTTTGGCTCGCGCGCGATGCAAAATATTTTAATAAAGTCGCTCGCGGAATTAAACATAAAAAAAATGCGAATTCACGTGTGAGCATCGCGCATTGTTCTGCAAAGGTATGTGCAATAAATTAGTGTAAGTTCTCATTTTATGCTTCAATATATGCCCGGAAAGCCGGATGAATGGCGCTTCAGTTGAAACACCTCTACAACTATAGAACTTATACAGACAATAATAAATTGTAAATATGTTCCATATATATGCAAAACAAATGGGGACAGAAATAGAGTTACATAAACGGATATTTCTGCTTCACAGACATGATTTCAGGAAAATATCAATAATCTCCTGAGCGGATTAAAATAATAATTGAACGTGGAAACTTTGGTGGATTGGATTTTCAATTTCCCCCAATTTGTCAACGTTGCTAATTATGAATTTTCCACAATTGTTCCAGCTACAGTAAAAGTTACTGCATGGATAATCCTCTCAACTCGCGAGGGAAAACAAGATATAATAAAAGTACTTTGCGCTCCAGGAGATAAATAAATTCTGCAAGTGTATCATAAATCGCAAGGAGACATAAATGGTTTGGTTGGACAGTGAATTTCGCTGGTGTTCTTTGTTCTTGAATATTTCACGCTTCCATATTCATGCCAACTATCATTTATCGTAATTAATGAAGACTGCTTGGACTTGCTAAGTATTGTGAAATTTCTATCGCGTATTCTATTTCACTGCGCGCCCTTTCATAAATTTCATTTCCGCAATGGAAAATTGACTACTAAAACTTCCACTTTAAAGCATGAACTTTTTCAATAGAGCTTTCCTATATAAATTTATGAGTGAAGCTTTCTAAATTCACACGAAAGAGCAGAAAAAGCTTCTGAAGTATCTTATAGAGAGACTGTTGCATTAAATTGAATGTCCTTTGAGCACTTGTAATAAAAATCTTCTTGTTGTCATTTCACTACAATTTCCCATTCAAACTAATTCATCAATTAATTTGCTCGTTTCTTGCCGACTAAAGTGGGATATTATTGAGGTAATTGCTGGTAAAGAGATTCACTTGTGGTGATTTGAGTACAAATAGCAAAAAGTGAGCGATTTAATTGGAACATCCACTGCAATTATGCAATTAGAGAAACAAGCTCATTCTCAAAACACCCACTCATGCGCCAAACATTGTGTCTACGAGTGCTTTTCCGTGCTGGTGTTAATTGTATTTCCCCATGAAACACTTTAGCGCGCGCTTCTTGAGCGACAAAAAGGTGTGGGGAAGAGATTTGTCAGGTTCGCTGAATGCCAATGAATTCAATCAATTCACCACACAGCCTCCGAGTGTTGCATGAGTCACAAACCCAGACTGATATTTCACAGACTTTCATCCACTTTGAGCAATGGAAGTCTTGCTGATGCTGTGCTGGACGGGAAGTTCTACGTGCGACAGAGTCTATGCGAAAAATTGCAACTGATCGACTCATAACTCTTTCCCAGAAATGGCCAATATCAAGTGGTGAGAAAGAGTCTTGACGGTATTTTTCTTACCTGTGACGTGGCTCTCGAAGAATATCCGAGTTATGAGTACTACTGAAGTAAATATCACAGAAATTTTGCACATTTTTCACTTGTTGCTCGCTGGAGGTCGTATGAAAAATTACTTCACTTCTCCACTATTCAGCAGTGTGTGTCATCAAAAATGTATCCTCACATCTACAATGTCTCGTTACTCCTTTCCTGGGCAGCTCCTGTTTGACATGAAAAGCAACACTATAATGGATTTTTGTTCCATCTTCCCGCATGTTGTTCTTCTTGCAAAATCCACGCCGTCGTCTTGCAACTGGGCCAAAAGTTTTAATTGATAAGTAAAATATGCTGTGCAATGTCCCCCCCCGTCTAATTCAATTTAATACATGTCACACTGCGCCTCGGCGGTGCATTTGGCCATAAATTTCAATCCACTGAATTGTTTTATCTCACAGAACAGCCATAAATCAGATTAAACCTCAATTGGAGGAGAATTGAAGCGCCTCTCGACGTGGAGGCAATTTTAAAGCACGCGCTCAGCGTCACAAAATGCACTACAGCTTCGCCTTTTGCCGAGCGATGGTAAGGATGATGAGTGATGACATCGAGGGTTGATTTATTCTTGGCCGATATTTCCTTCCCACGCTGCTCTCACTCTCTCTCTCTTTGCCATTCTGCACAGGTGAACTTTGGAGGTGTGATTGGAATTTTCGGATCGACGGATCCGAATCAGTTTTCACTGTGGGATTGCGGAAAAGCATCGCAAATAAACCCCACAGAAAGAACTGAGTGAACTTTTAATATGAAATGCAGAGCATTTTCACTGAATTCCCGCCATGAATTCCTAAAATCCCATTAAGAACCCACACGGTGAGTAATTGTTTTATTTACCACTTTGAGGAATAATCACGCAAAATCATATAATACTTCTCATGCTCATTTTCACCCTCAACGATTGCTGCGCTCAGAGTGTGAGAAAGAGCGAGAGAATGCAGAAAAATTCTCCATTGTATTTTCATATAATAATTTCTCTCCGCCTTGTTAGAAGTTCATTAACGATCTGCATGTGGGAAATTGTGAAAATGAATTGAGAACGGTTTTATTGGACTTGCCTATATGGCAGTAAATAAATTGTGTTTGAATCTCTCTGTCTCTCTCTGGAGAGCAATAATCCAGATGACAAATTTATCGTCACTTAATGACGCGTTGAGAGCAAAATATTCGAAAGTTAATTTGTCACTGAAGCCATTAGTATGGCGACTCCTTGTTTCCACGATGATACATTTCTGATGGGCGATAGAAGGGAGGCTTCAGGGTGTGTCTAATCCCCCATTAAGAGACTGTTGCTCCTCAAATACCACCCCAAAAAAGCGCTCAAATGCCCCGCAAAACTATTTATAACGCACCACAGGACTGAGAAGAATGCCACAAAGTGATAAAACATTAAGAGGATAAGTCATTTTTGGATAAGCACGTCAAAAATTGCAAATATACACATTATAATACTTTATGAATATGACAGGCAAACCTATTAAAAGGAAAGCATAGTTTTTTCCTCAAGTCTTCACAAATTTCTTGTGAAACATGCTTGACAGTTTTAAGCCAAGCACAGTAGAGAGAAACCTAATACATTTAGCTCCAGCGAAAAATCCATAAAGAATATTTATGATATTCCGCGCGAAAACGAACTTTACATCCATTTGCGAGGCGCACAATTTTAACCCAATTCGCTGGATGTTCACACAAAAAGAGAGAGAGAGCATCTCGCACAGTGAGAATTGAATTGTACACACATCTCAATACGTGCTCAAAAAGAATCTGTTTATATCAATTTGCAATATAAATGTTTCTGTTTGTGGCCGCGAGACGCGAGAGATTTTCTCACTGTGCGCGAAGTTGTTTTTCCTGTGCTCCGGAGGAGCTTCAGATGCGGCAACACAATGGCAATTAAAGAGCTTAAGTTTTCCATTAACCTCATATCCTGTCTCGAAAGTGTTTTCTCACATCAGCCAAAGTGTGGGGCGGAAGAAGAGGTCAATAAAATCAATGCTGAAGTGGCAGAAATGCTCGAAATTTTGCTTGAGAGAGAGAGAGGAAAAGATGAGGAGGATAATTTATGTTCCTTCGCCATGACCATTTGCACATATGACGGCAACATGGAGAGTATGTTTAAGTGCAGAAATGACAATGTGCAGTCATGTGAAGTATCGCAAAATCGCGCGCTGAAATTTGCACATATAAATGCGCTCCCAAGAAATCTCTAACTAAACACTTTGTCTGCCTTGTCTGCTTTCTCGCGGACTGAAAAATTGATTAGTTTTCCACGCTTCGCTCTATCAAAATTCAATTTAAACACCCTTTCCTTCCTGACCAAAGAGGAAATGCTCTCTATAACAACTTCAAAAAGAGGATTATTATGCACGAGGAAAACAGGAGCGAACAGTCGTGAAATGAGCTGCAACAGAAAAATACATTTGCAAATTATTTCCCTCTAGGCTCTAATGCAATTTTATGGGTCCGGAGAACTGGCTGGGGATAAAGGCTAAAGGATGTGAAGACCAAATCCCACTTGGATCGCATTATTCCTCTGTCTTGAAACGATACAATTCCACTGGGAAGCACAACTTTCTCGCCTTTTTTTCGTGGAGTGTTGCATTAAAACTCGGTTCATGTAGTTTTGTCGGTTGAAAAAACCGGATATTTTGCCAGAGATATAAAAGAGCCTTATTTTATTTTGAGTGTCTTCGAAAGGAAAAATAATATCACTGATATTGCAAGCGCAAGGAGAGATTTTTCTGTACTATATGTTTGGATTTGAAAATCAATCAATGGTTTTTCTTCTTGTTTTCTCAACTAAACATTCTTCAAACTCCATCATTGTGAGTGTTTGTTTTCTCAAGTCCTACAATTTTCATTATCTCGCAACTCTAAGCATAAGAATTCCCCACCCAAGTGGCGAGTGTAACAACACTTGAGAGAAGATATTATCACCATCTTTCGTGGCTTGAGAGAAAAAAATGTTCTCACATCTTTTCGCATTGCGATTCTCATTCTCTCAAAGCTTGCAATTCGCTGTATTATCACAGTTTTATCAGAGAGCGTCTGTTATCTTGCAAAATATGAGTCTGGTGTGTAACAGCCAAGGATTGTCGTTAAACCGCAAAACTGCGTCTGTGTGTTTATGTTCTCACTTCGCAGTGCTGCGAATTGATTAATGGAATAGAGAGAGTGGTAAGTGTGAGAAGAATACATTGCTTTGCCCACCAATCTTCAAGTCTACGCGGCCTCGTCATTGTTACGTCACACCGCGTCCAAATTGGGCGGAATTTTATTAATTCCGATCGCGCGCGTGTTGGACTGCGAAGAAGAAAGCACACGGCGAAGTGTGTGTCACTCTGATTTGCCTACTGAAAGTTCCCCTCCCGAAGAGTGAGAGATTTCGAGAAGTTGCCCAATTTCAGAGTTGCAAGAGTATTTCGGTGGATTCCACAAGAAATTCATACACAGTCAAGCAAGGTGTGCATGATTCATCTCCAGGTACACAACGTCATACATTTTTCCACACTAAAACATACTCAGAACTGGCTCATGGATGGCCATAAGCGCCGATAAATGGCTAAAACTACAAATTCACTTCACTCGCGAACACCGTTAGTCAGATATCACTGGATGTCATTTTGCGGTCTAAAAGAGACACTAGAGGAAGTCGCCAAAGGCAGCCTTCTCGCATTTGCCTTGTATCACGTGAGACTCTCGTGACAAGGGCGGGAAAAGCACTCACGCCAACTGCTGTGTGCACTAAAAACTTTGACTGAGAACCGACGACGGGCCTCTGGATTTGAATATCGTGGCAACTCGCGAACGTGTTGGACCTCGACTGAATGAATGGAGTGGCGGCGGCTCTTGGCGAACCGGTGGTCGAATGCTCGGCTCAGATCGACACAGAGAGAAGGCAACCAGGAATATCACACAACACACTCTTCCCAGCCAGAGCGCTTTTCAATTGAGAAAACTGTCTCACAGAATGCAAAAGTTACGAGCGACTAGCTGGATAAGTTTACGGCTTGTTGTCTGGGAAAAGCTCCGCTTTTATCTCGTATTTCTCCAAAAACGTGGGTTTTACAAACTATAAAGAGACTGATAATTTTGCATTTCATTTCTATGATCACATGATAACGCAAAACCAGCATAATATCAACAGAACAATTTAATAATAAAACACATGAAATATTAGTTCAAATGCTGTCTATCAAATATTCATGACTTTCCGCAATTTCAACATATGGTCTATAAAATAATATAAAATAAATGCAAAGGAATTAATTCACATAAATATAAGAAGATTAAAATAATACAAATTGATTGAAATTTTAATTACTTTAGCAATTTCTAATTAAAAGTGCAATTAGGAAAAACCAACACATCTATAGGAAAAAAAACTGGAAAAAAAATCCGAATGAAATTTGATAATAAAATACCATTAAAATCTCAATCCCCGAAATTGTGTACAATTCAAGCCACAAAAAGTATCAGTAAGTCAGCATAAACAATTTATTACACAGAAATCCGCAAAGTATTATTTTGATTAAGATATATTCTTTTAATTCTATGATAGAAATGCGCGTATTTGCTGATGATATTTGCAAAATATATTTCCATTTCTCTTCAGCGAAGTCAAACACATTTTTCACTCTTCAATAAAGGGATTAAGCTCTTATTTCCTCGATTGCAAACTTCGATTCGCGCGCTAAATAATTCTGTGCACGCTGGGAAATCCTAGCTGAATTTCTCAGAATGTGAGGATTCTGCTCATTGCGACCCGCTTTTCGGGGGGGGTTGAATCTAGAGACAGAAGAGCATCTCTGCCGCCCCCAAACAGCTGCAGTTCACGGGAATGCAGCATCACTGCAGGTGGGTGGCTAAAATCAATAAACAGACTCATTCACAAATGCCTCCGGCAGCCAGAAAGGGTCAGTTCCTGTCCGTGATTGAGGTGAGGCGCTGTCTCACATGCCTTAGATATCGCGGAGAGCATTTTTAATGGCACAAAAGCTTCAACACACATTATAGGTGACTATTAACACAAAAGTGATGCATAAACACACGCAAAATGCTCAATTTCACGCTATATCAGAAAGTTTTTGGTGTATTAGAAGGCAGATTCGTGCGATTCGCGGCCAGGAGAGTGTGAGTGAGTTTGGGGAGAATTTCCAGGCGGTGTGATTTATGGTGACGTTCGCACGCAACACACTCTGCACAAGGAGCACTAAAGGCAAATTTCATGGAAATTGTGTGGGAAAGTGAAAACAAACCCTTCGAGAGAGCGCAACAATGAACTGATAGAATTGCGATGGACTTGGAATGACGGTTTGAAATTGAATTTAATTCAGCTGAGACACATTTTTATACCAACTTTGCTATAAAATTCACAATCATTTGAGGTTGAGAATATAACAGATTTGAGATGAAATTCTGTTTAGTTCTTGGAAATTAACGTGCGTCTTTTTCCTTATGAAATGATTAAAAATTGCAAGATTATAATTGTGTGCCATTGAAATTCATGCTTTCGCGATGATGACGTTGAGCAGCGACAATTTACGTAAACTCTTTTCAACATACTTGCATTAATTGCAGAATTTTGTTATGCATGAATCCGGATGCATGATTTTTTGTGGAAACACAATATTTTGCACAAAATGTTTTAACAGTGAAAAGAAAAAAAACACCTATCATTTCTGCGAAAAAGAGCCAGAAGATATTTTTGCACGTTCGTCAGTTTCTTTAGCGTGAATTCAATTGACAGTGAAAAAGCGAATTAACGGCGATAATTGGGATTTATCTGACTTATAAATGCATGGTTCTTCCTTCTCTTTTTTCTCCATCTGATGGTCCGAAGGTCTAATTGCAACCTTTGCAGCGTCTTTTTTTTCGAATTGTTTTCAATCACTGATGAACACAGACATTTTCCCGAGGATTCACATGGAGAGTAATGGGCGTTAATAGAGAAATTGCGAAATGGAAAAATCCCCCTTCGATATTGTCTTCTCGATTAGAATAACTCAGCGAATGAGCAAGTGAAGTTGTTCTGCTGATTCTTCGCATATCAATTAAATGTTCTATTCAGTGGTGGGGATTCACAAGTGCTTTAAAATTGGTCTGTTGATCACTGCCGCAGTCCATTTGTGTGTCACACGCTGAAAAGTGCGCGGAAAATTCTCCGGCATAAATTCTCTGGTGCGAAGTTGGATTTTGTTGCCTCTTGTGCGCGGGTGAAAAATGTAGATTAGTGATTATCAGTTGGACAAGATCTTTCTACTCAATCTCCACCATCTATTAATAAATATCCATTCGGGAAGGTTTAATTAGTTTCCGCAAACCGCCGACAAATCCCACCATTTCCAGCTCTTTCCCCAACCATATATAGTCTCAATTGGCTTTTCCGTGCGAACATCATTAGTCGCTGGCTGGACAGGTGGTCTTTTGGCGTGCGTGAAAAATGACTTGGACCGTCTTCTTCTCCCTCCTGACCTTCGTTCTGTTGATGAATCTGCGGAAGATATCGGCATGCGTGAGTTGAATTTTTGCCAAGCAAAATACGATGGATTTATGCTAATGCTCGAATGTTTTGCTCTTCCTCAATCGCACAGAATGGATACAAAACAAACTTGCACTATCTGGAGAACTGCGACAAGCAATCTGTTATCAGTGTGGATAATAACTTCAAGGTGCAGCTGACCAGGGAATGCCAAATCATCGCCAATGGATGCATTCAAACTGCTGGCTTCCAGAAGGCCTACGTAAGAAATGCCCCATAAGAACACCTCGACAACTGTACTCACAGTGATCGTTTTTCCAGTTGAGAGCGACCATCAGCAAGAATGGAATGGTTATTCATCGGATAGAAACGGATTTGTGTGATACAATGAACAAAGCATCTGCGGAAGCTAAACATTACCTGAAGCTCTTCGGACTTCCTGACAAATGTCCGGTGGAATCTGTGAGTTTTAACCTGAAAATGGATATTCTGAACAATTAACTGAATTCCGCAATGATTCGCAGGGACGTTCTTGTCAGGATTCTTCCACAAAGGCAGATATTTCCAAGTATAAAAGATATCTGGCGCTGGCAAGAGGCTTAATTCAAATTGACGCCAGAATTGATCATGAAAATGTAAGTAATTTTCCAACATTTCTCTGTATTTATTCAACTAAAATTCTTTCTCACTTCGCAGGGAAAGACTTGCATTAAAGCTGAAGTGGAGATCACGAAATAGGCTCAATATAATCCGTGTAAGAATTATTGCTCAGTAGATTTTAGCCAGTAAAGCAGCAAAATGTTCATGAATCATTCGGTGTATTTTTTAATTTCCTGGAATGATTGAATGAGAATGAATTTTCGGAAAATTTTCCCTTTCTCTGTAAATTATCAAATTTGCGTTTCTCGTGTGGATGAGTTGAATGGAATATCGTGTTCGGAGGGGAAAACATGATAAATTGTCTGAGATTGCGCTTAATTGCATGCGCGATGTGAGAATTTCCACCACTATCAACTTGGCTAAATCAGAAATTTGTGTGTGACGAGGAAGAGGAGATGAGCAGAGGCAGGAAACTTGACATTATCCATAGATAATTAATTGTTAGCATCATAATTTCGATGAGGGAAATTAACTTTTACGGGTGGCACAGAGTTTTATTATGTTCAATACTAAATTCATTAGTTTTGTCGTTCATTTGGAATTTCGTTCGTTACAATTTTTGCGCGCGGATTAATCCGAAGCCAAGATTTGTGTGTGGTTGATCGCCTAGCACGATTTGAGCTCCGTGAAGTTTCCTAGGTAGCGTGAGTGTTTGATCCCAAAACTGTAGGACGGAACGTGGCCCAAATTGATCTGCAAAGGCATTCGAGAGAGTGAATGTTTGGAGGTTCACACAGTGTCGGGATTGTGACTCACTTTCTCAGGACAGTGGGCGCCTGGTCCGGGTTTCATGTGGTTGTCATTGGGCTGCCGGAATCTCGTGGCCATGGAGTACATTGGCGACTTGCGCTGCAGCAACTCCAGCTTGGCATCGTAGGATCCCGGCCCGGGAACGCTGACCGTGGGTGGAATTGATGGCTTATGACGGCCTGTGATAGTAAAGGCGGGCGCGGATCGGATGCCACCTTCTCTGCTGCTCCCCAAGATTGTGGGGATGCGATAGACATTGGGAGCTATACACACACAATGCAGGGGATCTTTAGTCAATGGGATGCGGATCAATGATGGTGAATCTTGGCTTCTTGTTGCGTGTGATCTCAATATGGGCACAATGAGAACTTAAATATAGTCAGAATACCTCTGAACATCTATGCATGTGATTATCATTTGAAATCCAATGCTGGATGGTTAGTTGAGAGAGGAAGGAAAGAGATTTTCGGAGTTTAACAGTTGGCACTTTAACATTTTTTCATCAAAATATTTTTTTTCTTCTTCTTATATGAATTATGAAACCATGGATTTTAACTTATGATTTTACACGACCAGTGCTACAAAAGAAAAGAAAAAAAAAGAAAACAGAAACATAACACACATATTTACAAATGCTGAAATGATTGAGAAAGAAAAAACCGTGCAAAAACTCACTTTATAAGGCGAATATTCTGACTGTGCTTTATTCCAAAAGTGTAGGAAAGTGTGTGATCTAGATTAACCTTTTCAGGCATGTACGCGCCAGGAGCTAAAACATATTCACACAGATGATTAGAAACATGACACCTCAATTGATTTGAGACTCTTTTCAAAATGAATACCTGGAGTGTCACTGAACTTCTCTTGCTTCACTTTCAGCCCAAATGTATAAGCGGGTGTATGATCTAGCACTACTTTCTCAGGCATATAGCATCCAGGTGCTGAGGCAGGAGTGAAATTGTACAAATGATTAAAGGATTCATCATTCCTCGCGCCAATGAACACTGTGAATGAATTTCTTACCAGGAGTGTCGCTAGGCTTCTCGTGATTGACTTTCATGCCGAAGGAATAGGCTGGCGTGTGATCGAGATTGACCTTCTCAGGACAGTAAGTTCCAGGAGCTGGAGTGTCGTTTGGCTTCTCACGGTTCACCTTCACTCCAAAGGAATACGATGGCGTGTGATCTAAATTCGATTTCTCGGGATTATAAGTTCCTGGAGCTGTGAAAATGATTAATTGTCAAGCTTTTGATTGTGTTGAAGTTTAGCTAATCTACAATTCTACCTGGGGCATCGCTAGTTACGTCCTGAGTCACCTTAATCCCGAAGGAATACGCCGGAGGATGATCAAGATTGACTTTCTCAGTGTTATAAGCTCCCGGAGCTGGAGTGAATTCCTTAATTTTCTGATCGCATTTCACTCCAAATGAATAAGCTGGCGTGTGATCGAGATTCACCTTCTCCGGACAGTAAGTTCCTGGCGCAGGAGCATCACTTCTCACAGTTTGATCCACTTTAACCCCAAAGGAATAAGCTGGGGTGTGATCTAGCTGAACCTTCTCAGTGTTATAAGCTCCAGGAGCTGGGAAGCAATCCTTGTTCTTCTGATCACACTTCACCCCAAAAGAGTAAGCTGGCGTATGGTCAAGATTGACTTTCTCAGGACAATAAGTTCCCGGGGCGGGAATATCACTTTTGATAGGCTGATCAACTCTAATCCCGAAAGAGTAAGCTGGTGGGTTGTCGAGATTTACCTTCTCAGTGTTATAAGCTCCCGGAGCTGGCGTGAAATTCTTCACTTTCTGCTCGCATTTCTCGCCAAATGAATAAGCTGGCGTGTGATCGAGATTCACCTTCTCCGGACAGTAAGTTCCCGGTGCCGGAGCATCGCTCTTAACAGGCTGATCGACCTTTATCCCGAAGGAATAGGACGGCGTGTGTTCGGGTTTGTCGGGATTGTAAGCTCCAGGAGCTGGAGTGCAATTCTTGATCTTCTGATCACACTTCACGCCAAACGAATAAGAGGGAGTTTGATCAAGATTCACCTTCTCAGGACAATATGTTCCTGGGGCGGGAGCATCACTCTTTATCGGTTGATCTACTTTGATACCAAAGGAATAAGATGGTGTATGATCGACCTTATCAGGGTTGTAAGCTCCTGGAGCAGGGAAGCAATCCTTATTCTTCTGATCACATTTCACTCCAAATGAATAAGCTGGAGGATGATCAAGATTGACCTTTTCCGGACAGTAAGTTCCCGGCGCCGGAGCATCGCTCTTAACTGGCTGATCGACCTTTATCCCGAAGGAATAGGACGGCGTGTGCTCGGGTTTGTCGGGATTGTAAGCTCCAGGAGCGGGATTTGAATTCTTATTCACTTGATCACATTTCACACCAAAGGAATAAGAAGGAGTGTGATCGAGATTGACCTTCTCAGGACTGTAAGTTCCCGGAGCAGGAACATCACTCTTCAGCGGTTGATCAACTCTCACTCCAAACGAGTAAGCTGGCGTGTGATCAAGTTGAACCTTCTCTGGATTGTACGCTCCTGGAGCTGGAGTGTTATTCTTATTCTTCTGATCACACTTCACGCCAAAGGAATACGCTGGAGGATGATCCAGGTTAACTTTTTCAGGACAATAGGTTCCTGGGGCGGGAATATCACTTTTGATAGGTTCATCTACTCTTATTCCGAAGGAATACGCCGGAGGATGGTCAAGATTGACCTTCTCAGTGTTATAAGCTCCCGGAGCTGGAGTGAAATCTTTGTTTTTCTGATCGCATTTCACTCCGAAGGAATAAGAAGGAGTGTGATCGAGATTCACCTTCTCCGGACAGTAAGTTCCTGGCGCAGGAGCATCACTTCTCACAGTTTGATCCACTTTAACCCCAAAGGAATAAGCTGGGGTGTGATCAAGCTGAACCTTCTCAGTGTTATAAGCTCCAGGAGCTGGGAAGCAATCCCTGTTCTTCTGATCACACTTCACCCCAAAAGAGTAAGCTGGCGTGTGGTCAAGATTGACTTTCTCTGGACAATAAGTTCCTGGCGCCGGAGCGTCATTCTTCACGGGTTGATCGACCTTCACTCCGAATGAGTAGCGAGGAGTGTGATCGAGATTGACCTTCTCTGGGCAGTAAGCTCCAGGAGCTGGGATATCACTTGGCTTTTCCCGATTCACCCTCACCCCAAATGAATAGGCTGGCGTTGTGTCCAAGTTGACTTTCTCTGTTTCATACGCACCAGGAGCTGAAAAGAAGGCGAAAAGTTGTACAATGAGGCGGGATTTTATGGATTTCATCACTCACCCGGAGTGTCACTGGTCTTCTCGTTATTTGTCTTCACGCCAAAGCTGTACCTTGGACTGGATTTAATCTCTTTTTTCTCTGGGCAGTACGTTCCCGGAGCTAAAAGACATCTGCATTAGATTACGGATATTTCTAAGAAGCAACTGTGCTAAAGTCTATGCGGAAAAACCAAGCCCAAGAGAATCTTCTACCAGTTTCTCAGACAGAAGTCCTTGTGTCCTTTTCTTGTTCTCAATGAAGATAAACAACACATGTACGAAATAGAAGAAAAAATATGAGAGATGTGAAAAATAGAAGAAACACAGGATGTCGAAAGACGTGCACGAAATTCTACTTCAGAACAGAAGAAAAAAAAACCACCTCAAGTATTTTCTTACCAACCTGGCGTATCGTTAACTACTTTGCGCGCAACTTTAATGCCAAAACTGTATTTGGGTGATCTATTTAAAGCTACTTTCTCAGGGTTGTACGTGCCAGGCGCTACAAAATAAGGGTTAAGAGAGAGGCTTGTAGATCAATGGCTTCATAACGTCATTTCGCGCACTCATCATCATCATCATCATCGTCGTTCTCAGCGTCCCCACAAATTCTCCTCCGCACGGCTGCGGCATTACCTGGAGTCTGGCTGACTTTCTCGGCGGTGCTCTTGAGGCCGAACGTGTACTTTGGCGCCGCCTCGGAGATCCTCTTCTCCGCCTTGTCCACATTGTACTCGCCGGGCGCCGGCGTGAGGAAGGAGCTCTTGCCGCGCGGCCTGCTCTGAAGCGACATGGACGGCGGGGTGTCTTTGCCTCTGGAGCCGAGGCCGATGATGTTGTACTGCGCCGGCCCGGGGCCGTACGTCTCCGATCGCGCCCGGTGGCGAGAGCCAAAGCTGTAGGCAGGCGCTGCTGTGCGTCGCGAGTCGGGAACTTTGATGCCTGACCAGAGAGAGAGAGAGAGAGAGAGAGAAATTCCCTGGGTTATTGGAGTAGTGGCCGGGCAAGATGACTCCTCTGCAGCATTAGTTCCGTGGGCGATGGAGAGGCGAGCCTCTCGTGAAAAAGAATGGATCGTTTGTGTGTTGGATATTTTCAAGATCACGCTGCGCACATTTCCTCAATTGGCCGCCGCCATTGTCCGCCATACAATTAAACATTTCAATATAATTACGCTTGATATTAAACCCATAGCGAGACAATCCCGCCCACGGGACTTTTTTTTGCTGCCTTTCCCATCATCACAATATGTGCCAAATTGCCTGCTCACCGATGAGCGTCGGGAGCTGGACTAGAGCTGGTCCGGGACTCGAATGTTCGGCAGCAATTGGGCCTCGGCGCTTCGTCGGCGTCCACGGTCTCTGCTCAAAGCCACCCATTGTGTTTTGCTGCCTAATGAGCCGCCTTGTTGACTCAGAGTCGAGGAAAACGTCTGCAAGAAATTAGCATTTCAATGTCAAGCTGAAAAGTGCACCGAAGGCATTTGCAAATTAGATGATCAGGCTATTAAGCAAACGCCCAAATCAATTCCAACGCGCGCTGTAGCTTGAATTATTCATCTTGAGACATGGCGCAGAGATCAAGTTCAACACATGGAGTAAAGCGAAGTGTTTAGCGTGCCTAATGCGACTCAGTGAAGATTAATTGGAGCTCAATCTATTCTAGACTGAGGCGGAACAATTTCTCGGCGACACCAATACTACAGTTTGTCCCATTTGAATTGCATCGCACAGATCTGATCATATATGGCCTTTGCATTCCAAGAAATCAATCAAGATCTTCTCCACAAGTGATCGAATGATTAGCCGTACTGGATTTATTACTACAAATGCTGTACAAGAAGCTAAATTGATGAAAATACCTTTCATTGCCCATTTTGTATAGCCAGTAATTAGATTGTGCAATTTTTCAGTCGCGCTGTTTTTCCTTTGAAGTTATACCAACATTTTTTTCACACGCCACACAAACTTGCAATGAAGTCTTGTGCAGTGGAGAAAAGAAAAATATGAGAAAGAAAAGTGGTGGTTTCGTGGAAAACTTTATATCATGAACACAAACACTGCAAACTCCTCTAAATTGGAGTCAAGGTTGCCATAATTCTGCAACTGTAGCAGTTAAATAATTTTCCCAAAACTTTAATTAATCATGACACAGAGCGCCGAAGGGGTTGATATATTCGTGCAATGTGTGCAGGGGTGGTTGAAGGCAAGAAAGGTGGCTGAAAAAGCTCGCGTGACGCCCGGGGAAAAGTGTCCAAGAGCTTCCGGACACTGCACTCCCGCGACTGGGCGCGCGGGAGAATTTGGGCCACTGTGTTGCACTGCGAGGGGGTGTGAGTCAGCTGAAGAAATGGTGCTCTTGCGCGAGAATCGCAACCACAAATTACTTCCCTTCCGGAATCAACAATTGTCATCGTGCCCACGAGTTGCGGCCCGAGTCCTGTTTAGCATGTCTGCCGTCGCAGGAGTGCTTCGGAGGGCACACAGCTGAGGAACCCTTCGTGGCACGCAATTCAGCTTTCAATGTGTCTTCAGAAAGGGATTCCCTTATTCTCCTTGATTGATTTTCCATCGAGAGACACACAAACGGCTTCCATTTTTAATGGCCGAGTATAGAAAGAATGAGTTCAATGCTTCGATGCGCTCGAACACATGTTTCCATTGGCGGTGGGAAAAAGCTCTGAATAATTAATTGAATGCAAGTGAAAGTGGTCTCAATGCTGAAGCTTCTGCAATCATTCTTCACTCAATCAAACCATGACCTTTCCAAGGATTTTCCAACATTCATCAATTCAACAAAAGACCTGCGAAAATCCGCGAATTAACCAGGAAACTTCTGAAGAAATAAAACCCATTTCACAAATCAAAGCCAATTTGCCATTCAATCTCATTCTGTGCATGGCTTGAAAGGCTCGTTGTCTGACTGTCTTTTGTGAGCAACAGGACTCGCTTGGTTGCCTCTTTCGGGCTAAAGAAAACTCCACCAAACAAACTCGTCTCTCCGTTTGACCCAAATATATCCAAATGAATTTATCGGCTTTCAGATGCCCGTGAGCACAAAACTATCAGCCCCTCCGTGTTATTTTGCAAAATGTATTTCAACCTCGCAACCAGAAACTTTGCTGGCTTTATTTTCGTGCCATTGTCTGCACGATTCGTTTGCTAAGTTTGGCGGAAAAGCGAGAGGAACGACATCGGCGCAATGGAATGTCGAATGGGGGTGAGAAGGGTGTGGAAAAGGGGTGGTTTTCCTGTGCATTGATTTTCACACACAGAGCACACAAAAATTGCTTTGGCAATAATACAATAAAAGAGAGAGAGAGAGAGACTCAATATCGACTAAATTCCCATACATCAATTCAGGAATCTTTCTCGCAAAAATCCCACCCAAAAGCTGCGCCTGAAGAGCAGCACAGAGATTTTCACGCCCATGACGCTCTAACATGACAACCTTGACACTGTAACAGTTTTTCTCCTTCTGCACAATTGTTCAATTACATGAAATTATTGTTCTGGCGGTGATTAACATAAGAAAATCCCCTCGGCGGACTCATTGTCGTGCCAAGCAGAAGGGCATCGAATCGTGCGGAGTGACGCAATTGCCGCTGAAGAGAACAGACGAGCCATTTTTGGCAAGAACCACCGCTTTCTACCTACATCTGGCCAATCAAGATTTATGACTCCATCGCAGAAAGAGATCATTGAAATCACCACCAACATACAGAGACACACATTTTCCCAATCATTTCCCATCACAAATTCGCTCTTTTCTCTCCATTCTTCTTATTTTTTTTCTGGCGGAAGGAATGGCTCAAATATTGACATGGGTCGCGATAGGAGTCTCAAAAAAAGTCACTCTCATTTACATTTTTCACTCGCAAAGCCATAAAGTTGGACAGTGAAAGGCTTTTGGCACTCGTAGGAGGAGTGATTCTGAGGTAAACCACCTCAAAGTGGGCATAAAACTTGGGAGAACTTTCAGACAAGCGACTTAAATTCAGCATCAGTGACTCTCTGATGAGGCCAAACGAGGCAAAGAAGATCGCCAATCGGTAAATAACCATAGCGACTTATGGTGTCGTCTTCAGTGCAATGATCAAGAGATTTGCCGTTGATTACTTGGCGTCAGGAAAGTGGCGAAGAACAGGTTGACAAGTCGCAAATTGCCACGCAAACAGAGATCTCAAGAATATAAATTCAATATTTAAATGAACATCTGAACCAGTTCTCTTACTTAATTATTTAACCCCCCATAAAGTCCATCGATTGTGAAGAAGAGCCACCGAAAAGCGGAGGCAAATAAGGCACAAACACACACACTTTTGAGGCGATGCAGAGATTGGCCAAGTGCGAGAGGGAACTTTTCACCTTCCCAGGCAATCTCAAGGCGTCGATGAATCACTTTTTGAATAGGCAAATATACGGAAAATTATGGCTCACCTGAAAAGTGTCGCTGAAATCTCTGGTGAAAAGAACACCTCGAAATATCCAATTAAGGCGCGCGTTCGTCGCAATTTTCGGCCCTCAAATTTCGGCACGCACAGTCACTTTAACTCGGACTTAATTCACTTCTAAGAAGGCTTTGATTGATCGCGAATGAAGATCGATGGGAATGAGAGGAAATTGTTTTGATTTGACACAGTCACTGGAAAATACAAATGGAAGAAAAGTTGATGATTTATGAATGTGGATAGAATGCAAGTGTTTTCGATTCGACGGTTGAGCGAACAATGAAGCATCGAGAGCTCTTTGCCGCCAATTTATAAGCTGAGCTCTGCCTCCACAGCGAAAGCTCACGCGCGCCAGCTTTCGGTGGGATTGCTGTTGAGCGGCTTCGCGCGCCGGAGCTTTGCAACAGCGCAGAAAATATATATAGTCAAATTTGGGAAGAGATTTAAAGCGCGATGCAGTGATTCAGACGAATTGTGATTTATCGTCTATGGAATTGAGTAAATTATTAGTTGCACGGAAATGTTTGAGAATTGAAAGTGGTGAAATATATCGAATATTTGCACTGCAAAACCTTCTATTTCAACAAATTAATGCATTTTCTACATGATTCTGTTAAAAAAAATTAATTAAATCACCTTTTCTAGGTTATGTGATTGATTTAAGACAGATTCAGGTGATTAAGAATTCCTCTAAATTATGAAAATTGTATTTAATCTGGAATTTCTTCTCTTTTTCTTGGCAAAATTGAGCTTTTTCTGTTTAAAATACTTCATATTAGGTAATAAAAAGCTTAAGTCAGTCCTAACCTCAAAAATGGTATTTAAGTCTAGAAAATTGTCTTTTTGCTTAGTTATTACTGTGGTTTGTGCTTAAAGTGGCAAATTAAGAGTAAGAGATTAAATTAGAAGTGTCAGGAAGTGGTGCAGATTTGAGGCATATAATCTTCCCCTTGTATTAATTGTTAATTAGCCAATTTAGACATTTTCTGTTGTGACAATTCGATGGTCGACTAATTCCCTGATTTGTTGCTCTGCCCAAAATCTCTCTCGCTATTTTGACTAGTCTTCCAGAAGTCATCGAACTCCTTCTCAGCTTGAGAGAATCTGCGATTCTATCGTGTTTCACAATCTTATCGATCCATAAAAACTGTCCTCCATCCAAATTAGAGAAATTGATGGAAACCCGATGCTGATTGTCGCGCCATAAAGAAACGTCCCAATAATTGCTTCAGCCTTCCCACGTTCAGGCGGCACGCGGGAAAAGCTCTTCGCCTTCAGCACGAGACGCTCGAGAATTATGATCACAATTTGTCGTGTCGAAAGCCACAATAAATTCTGCCTAAATCGCGGCGGGAGTGAAAGATTGGTGTTTTTTTTCATTTACCATTTACTTTTAATGATGATATTCCTTCTGTTATGTATATCTAATAATGTAAGTATAAGAGTAGTTAAATTGTTACATCATTGTTCTTGCGTAAAAAAATGGCTCACCGACTGAGTGAGAAAATCGCGCGCGCGCTTCTTCTACGAAAAAACACTGTTTTGTATCAAAAGTTTTTTTTGTGCTTCGCTCATTATTGTGAATATTTATTTTCTCGTCTTCTTCTTCTTTTCCTATCATCTTTACTAAATTCCTGCTTTATTTTGCCTTTTACACACATCTAACGGCTAAATTTGAAACGGAAAACATTTTTCTCTTATTTTTTTTCTCCTGGGAAGAAAGGATGTTTGAGGGAATATTTTTATTTATATCCACTGTGGAAGATTAATATTTTCTATGTTTAAAAAAATTATTTCTCATTTTTATCCCATTTTTTTTTGTTCTTGTAAATAATGCAAGACGGTTCGTGTTACGTTTTCTTGAGCTTTTTACGGTCTCACTAAAAATGTCTTTTTTTCCTTCATAATTTTTAAATCTTATTCATTTTTCTTTGATATGGAATAATGTGGAAATTTGTATATAAATTTAGCACATTTATATTTGTCATTATTTTATTCATTTTCTCATGGAAAAAATGTATCAAATAAACACATTGTCTCTTAAACTATCAAAGTTTCTTTTTTTTTAGTGTAAAATGTATAAATTTTCTATGTTTACAAGATAAAATTGTCTATTGATAAAATATTTCGAAAATCACACAATATGTTTGATGGTTTCATTTTTCATTACCGTATTTTTTATTCATTTACTTTATTTTTTGTAATTTATTTCCTCAAAAGTCTGTGAGTTTTATGTAATTCACTGAAATCCTGCTTTTTTTTTAAATTTAAAAGTCTATGCAATTCACATTTTCTTCCACTCTCTCTTTCTCTCTCTTATCATCATTTTTAGCAAAAAACATTAAGTTTATTATGGTCATTTTTCATTATAAGTTAGATAGTTTCGAGAATATTTATTCTTTTCCTGCTTTCTAGTGTTTTTCTTTTACTTCTCATATTTTTTTTTCTTTTCTTTAAAGGTATATTTCGTGCATACTTTTTAGAGTTTTCTAACATGATTTATGATTTTTTAAACGCCATAAAGATTGATGGACTTAGAAGATTTGTGTTTATGGGAAGAAAGAAAAAAAAAAAACAGAGCGAAAAAAATACAACTAAAAGACGACAAAATTTACTCTCCTAACAATTCGATACACTGCAATAATGCAATACAATGTCTCATCGCAAAACTCCTTATCTTAGCATCTAATTTGCATACTTTGAGAGACAATACACCGTATTCTCCATCTTGTCTATCCATAAATACACAGTAGTTTTGTCCAAAAATGGCATTTTGATTAGGATTCTTCCTCCACTCGAATACATTCGCGGTATTTTCGTCTCTTAATCTTACTTAATATGTTTTTCTCTTTACTTGCCTATCAAAGCGACGCTTTTTTTTCTTCATCATCATTATATAGTTTATCTGTTTCCTCCTGACAATCCTCTATATTCACGTTGAAAACCTTTATTAATGTGTTGTGTTGGTTATTATTTTGAGTGAAGCTTTTTTCTTTCTCTCTCTTAATCCGTATAGTCACAATTATCGATAGAAACACTACATGAAAACAATGCAAAAAACCTTTACGTCGTAGGATTTGAATACCATGGAATATTGAACTGTGGATGTTCAATATATTTAGCAAATAAATACTTATCGAGAGAGATTTTCCAACGTGAAAATCTCACATTTGGAAATACAATTACAATCAGTGGTGTTTGAGAAGAATTGGAAAATGTTCAGCAGAATGTATCATTCATATTTATATTAATTTTTTTCTCTACTAATTAATTATGGAGATCAGTAATGTGTCATTTCTTCTCTATCTCATTCATTAAATCGTTTTTTATTAATAAAATGCAATAAAGTCGATTAGAGTTTTTCTCTTCTTCTTCTCCTTCCTTTCCTCAAATATTACTTAGCAATATAATTATATCAATAATATTGTAAAATTCTGTTCTCCCACCCGCGCGCAATTGGCAGGTGGGAAAATATCGCAAGAAATTTTTTAGTCTGTGAGTCCTTGAGCCACAAGCACTAGTTGCTCCTTCAGCACTCTAAATGATGGCCTATCTTCCGGACTGTGTGCCCAGCACTTCTTCATGATCTGCCACAGAAAAGTCTCATTTAAGCGTGCGTCCGCAAACAACATAATATATTGTACTTACATCGTAAATCTCCTTAGCGCATGCCTTCGGCCGCTCAAGGATTATGCCACGCTGAACTCTCTCCACGACTTCGGTGTTTTTGAGACGACCATACGGCATCTTACCGCAAGTGAACACTTCCCACATCAGCACACCTTCAGAAACACACCACAAGCAGAACAGTTATTAAATTGATCCTCCACTTTGGCGCGCTCTGCGGCAAGAGAGACACTCACCATATGCCCAGACATCGCTCTTGGACGAGAAGCGTGTGTAATTGAGGACCTCAGGCGGTGCCCACTTGATGGGGAACTTTGTGCCGCCAGAACTCGTGTATTGGTCATCGAGAACGTATCGCGCCAAGCCAAAGTCCGCCACCTTTACCACATTTTCGCTGCCGACCAGACAATTGCGCGCCGCCAAATCACGATGAATGTAGTTGTGTCGCTCCAAATACGCCATTCCCTTGCAAACCTGCCAGAGAGAGAGAAAGAAAGCATTAATCCGTGCGTCTATCAATAGGAGGAGAGAAATCTCACCTGAATGCACATGTCCAGCAAGAGTCCCATGTTCCCAATCAGCGTCTGCTCGTGTCGCCTCAAGTAATTCAGCAGCGATCCGTGCTTCATGTACTCAGTCACAATGTAAATGGGACGATGCTTCGAGCACACACCGTACAATTGCACGAGATTTTGATTTTGCAGTTTCCTATAATGTTGAGGATGAGAAAAGAATACGACATGCGAATCTTGACACAATTCTCACGGCGAGAGAGATAAAGAGAGAGAATAATACTCACGTCATCACTTTAGCTTCCTCAATGAAATCATCCTCGGACATTGTTCCCACTTTCATCATCTTCACGGCCGTGTCAATCGATCCGCGCCACTTGCCGCGCCGCACCACGCCGAACTGCCCAGAGCCCAGCTCCTCCAGCAGCATCAGCTCAGACGGGTGGATCTCCCATTTGTCGTGCGACAGGCCGGCGGTGGTGGGAATGGGCCGATCGCAGGGCGAGCACTTGAGGCGGCACGCCAGACCGCCGGAATTGTGGCGATGGTAGTTGATCAGATCCGGAATGGACTCACAGCAGTGCTTCTCCGACAGATAGTACTCCATCCGGGCATTCTGCTTTATATGGTAGTGCTTCACATGCGATTGCGGTCTGAAAGGAAGCCAACGACAAAATGAGTCTCTCTCTCTCTCTCGTCCAAATTTCACCTCCAATTCTGTCTTATATCCGCTAATTTCCTCCTCGTCAATTTCACGTGTCCATTTTTGGGGAAAAATTATGTGCAGAGATATTCTCTGATAATGTCTTCAACTCTCTAACGGGATGGAAGACATTAAAAGAAAGAAAATTGAGACTATCTGAGTCATTATAAAAGAATTTAAGATCTTCCAATTTGAACGCTCTGCTTTTAGCAGCAAAACTATAAGTTTGTCAATCGCTTCGAAATTAGACTAATTTTTCAGTTAGTCAACTTTCAGTTGATTTCATTGATTAGTTATTGAAATATTAACTAAAATATGCAAAATTGATAGACAAACTCACAATATTAAGTACAAAAAGTCAGTTTTTATTAGACTTTTTGTTTCTAAATTTGGACATTTTGCTTATCATTTACTTGCTTTTCCATATAGAATTGAAAATTCGACTGATTTTTCGTGCAATTTCATTGATTTCCATCAATATAAGTGATTCAAAGTAGATTTAGTGATCAAAAACAAGTAAAAAGGCACAAGAAAATTATCAATTTGTATCAATTTCTGCACTAATTGCCTATAAACGTAATTAAAAACCCAGAAGATCTTGCATTTCTCCTTCAATTTCATCAAATATCTTTCAAAGTCGATTTTTAATAGTTTTCGAGGCACTCGTCGATATAAATTCCTGAAATACAATTCAGTTTTCAATGCAATTTCTCGCAATATCACAAATCCATTTTATTTAAGATGAAAATAATTTCACCCAATAAAAATTCCTGAGATTAAAAACATTTCGTGAGTAAACATTGAAAGGGAATCTCTTTAGAGAGTGTTTTATCTTGGGCTAAATATCTTTCTCTCTCTGTATGAATTTGCGATGGTTTTTTCTGGCGCGCGCGCGAGCGCTCGCGTTAGAATTCAATAAATAAAATAAGATAGAAAGTAAAATAACAATGGACTTACACTTTGGTATGGAGAGATAGAGTGTAGAGGCCTTTTGTGGAAGACTTTCTCACCACGAAACAACCTTCTTTGTCTCCCTGCTTCAACAATGACTCTGCCCTCTGTCGCGACATATCACCCACATACCAACTGCAAGAGATAAGCGGCACTCAATGTTATCACAGACGATCATCGCCGCGAATGCTGGAAAATGAAACTCACTCATATTTTTCCAAGCCGAGCAACTCCTTCGCCTTAACATAATTACTGGGTATGTATCCAATCTGTCCATGCTGATTCTTCACCTTCCACCAATGCTCCTGAGAATCGTCAATGACTTCGTATTCCGCATTCTGGCGCACAACAGCGTTCACGGAGGCAAGGAGGAAATGGGAGAGAAATCCAATTAGTTTGAGTAAATCAATGGGATATGAGATGAGATGTTTTTGGGCATTGAATTTCATTGGCAACAATAATCTCAGCGGGTGTCTTCCAGGTCATCTCTTCGCGCACATCAACAAATAACATTTCCACGCAATCATGCATCAGCAGCTCACCGTGGAGAAAATATTTAGAAGAGAATTATAATGATGATGACGAGTTGAGACCGACCTTGGCATCTCAATTTATATATTTCTCATAATCACCCGCATTCGAAAATGATTATTTCTCTATAATTCAACTATTATCGTCTCTCGTTTTTTTTTTTCATCAAACCACCTTTTCTCAATGGAAAAATCCCGCATTTTTGTCGAACGCACCACGAAAAATGTGTTGAAAGACAACATTATAATGAGCAATAGTGGGCAATTATGAGGAAATTCAACTTCGATTGTACGCAGATTGTGATGTCACGATTTTCACTTACTGTACAACAAAAAAAACCATTATTATTTATGATCTTCAAATTGTTATTTTTTTCTTCTTCTTCTTCTCCTTCTCTTGTGTTCTTCCTAACACACACCGTAAATTATTTCCTTTCCATCAATTTTGGGGATCACCTCGTGATGATTAAAAAGCAATTTCACCTCGACCTCAAAAGGCTTCTCTTTTTTTGGCAAAAGAAATACTCTCAGGTTATTGTGCCGAATGTGAACACCCAAAGTGAGAGAATACAATTGACTTTTAGGCTGTGTTGCTGTGTTGATGGCGAAAAAGAAGCCGAAAACAACAGCAATCAGAATAATTCTGCAGTTTTTTTTACTTTTCTTGACTCAATGTGTGACACCTCAAAAGCTAGCGGAAAATCACGTCAAGACGAGATCACACACAATGAATTTCACAAATTTCACTTCCAATTTCCACCCACACAAATCAATTCACATGTCAATCAGTGAATCAGTGAATATTTAATGTCTCATTTCGCCTGTCGTTTGCCGTTTCTGCCGAGAAACAACATCTTTTACACATCTTTCGCTTCGAGTGTTTTATTTTATTATATGTGAATCTCAATTTTCAGGGGGTCAAGAAATACTCCTCTTCTCTATGATATGGCAACGCTTTTTTCTCACCCCCTGACATTTGATAATTCGATACTTTTGCGCGCTCTTTTGCCCGTGACAGAGAGATAAAAAAAAAAAAACAGAGTGAATGGCGAAAATTACCTTCTCGAGTGATAAATCTCCTCCCTCGATGGCCTTAAACGGATAGAGTGCCACAACAATCTTAACTCTCGACGATGTATCCTGGATGGTGTGAGAGAGACAAAAAAAACACAGAGATTTTGATTAAAGCATTATTCAGCATGGAAAAAACCGGTAGAATTGGTCTTGAAGTCATTAATGCATAAAAAAGAGAAAGCCCGCCATCAATAGTAAAATTGATTTGCCACTTCCCCGAGTTATTAGCTTCTTACCACAAATTATTTAAATACACACCAAGAGACACAACACAGCATTGATTGTGGCTCTAGTCGCTCAATGTACTAATATGTATGCCTATATTTGACGTAAGAGTCGTGTGATTAAATGACAAATCACGGCGTCGGGCGAAAATTTCCAGCCTTTTATGCAACTCCAATGGTCGATGGCTTCAATTTCTGACCACCGCGGAACCTCAACTAAAACCTCCTGTCTGTCATGCCGCAATTGGTGGCCTTGTTCGCCACCAAACTGAAGCTTTTTCCATCACAAAATCGACACAGTTCCGTCAAACTCTTCTACAATAAATTGATCAATTGACTTGCGGATCAACTCGCGTCGTCACATTAACCATCTTTCAATCTCATGGGCAATAAATCTCCTTTCGTACAGTTCAAAAATTGCCAAAGAAAATTGCACAAGACACGCGAGTCTCTCTCTCTCTCCCCCTTTTTTCATATACGCGAAAAAGCCCGCACATCTGCAAGAGCGGCAAAATAGAGTCATATATAGAGAGAGAGACACAAGGCGTCTGTAGGAGAAATATTTATTAGATTCTCGCTATTTAACTTTTAATGACACAACAAATCGACAGTTTTACTGGTTGTATAACATAACTCCTCACTGACTCTCCTTCACTCCAAGCAATTTTCCTCCTCACTTTTCAGCCCATTCGGATTGTCTCTCGGCACTGTTGAGGCACCTTCTTTTGTGCCTCAGCATTGCATTTCATTTTCGATTAAATCAAAATGTCTCACAAATAAATTCACCGTGATTTATGCGCCTTCATTCAATTGCATTTTTCACATCTCCTCCGCACACTTTTGCACCCTGTCGCAATTTTCCACGATGACACAGTCTCAAACAGTGTGGAAAATGTGTGTGTTTGGATTCAATGATTAGTCCAAAAAATCACTGAAAGAATTCATCTCTCAGCAAATGAACAGAAAAAGTGAGGAATAAGACAGAAATTTCGCTTGCTTGTCTCACGCGAAGAACAACAAAAAGGTGGATCTTCTCTGGAGATTAGAAGGCAAAAAAAAAACTAAAAAGTCTAAATGAATTCATTTAGACATAATTCTGACCCAGTGCTCCAAAATCTTCCCACCATTTCCATGTTAATCTCTCCTCCTCTTCTGCTCTTTTTCATCTCTTCTCGCACTGGCTGTCTGTCTTTTTTTTGTGCTAAAGCCAAAGCGTCTGTCTCTATACATACCTTCGCCTTAGAATTCGGCGTCCCTGGAGTGGCAGTTCCGCCTGGCATCGTGGACTCAATCACCACACTACTGGCTCCGATCACAGCAGAGGGAACCACTCCTCCCAGCGACGGGGTCCCGTTTGTGGAGGTACCTCCGCTCTTGAACGTGGACACAGAGGACTGCAGAAGAAACAGAGATAAAAAACACTCTTTCATGCGCGTCTTCTGGTGAGAATCAGCAGCCCGAGGATGAAAAATATCCCCTCAGACCCCATAATTGTGACATTAGATAGAGAGAAGGGAGATCCTCTCTCTAGACAGACTACCTGTTGCTGAGACGATGAAGTGGGCGTCAAACTGCCCAAACTCCCCGATCCGTTCACTGTTTGCTGCTGATGAATAAATTGCCCGTTGGAATTAGCGTTTGGACTTGAACTCCGTGTGGAATTTTGGGCGGGAGAATTTCCGGTGCCTGCGGACGAGACAATAAAGGAGAGGCGATTAGAGGTATTTCTGCGCGCCAACGTCTGGATCCATATATCGAATAAATTATTACATTTATTAACTATACAAAGAAGCCCTTTTTTCGTTCACAATTCACCTTTTCCCACACTTTACGTCGTGCGCGCGTTAATTGTGGCCCCTGTGACGAATCTCCAAAGCCATGTCTTCACTTGAGCAATACCGAAGACTCTGTGTTACTTAGTATTCTTCACTCACTCTGCCTTCAGTCACCTCGCGCACTTTGAGATTGTGCACAAGGTATCAATTGCAAGCGATTGGGTGTCCAACACTCCCTCCTGCCATTTCCGCTCGATGCCCAATGATTTTTGTGCAAAAATGCAAAACATTGAGGCAAACGTGAGGACTCTCGAGCCACGTTTAAATGTCAAATCGATGCATTTTCCAAACCCATCACAAAACAATCCCAGGCAAGTGTTTGACTCACATTTTGAAATATCCGACATGTGTTTATTCTCTTCAAAATTCAATGCTAATATTTATGGGATCTCCCGAGGTGTCTCTCTCCACATATCTCGAGCATAAATTGTGTTCACTGGGTGGAAAACACGCGGTTTTTACTGTTAAATACAGCAGTTGACCTTTCCAATCTCAACATCACTTCGTCACATTCTGTCAATAGCGAGTCAATTAATTGCTTCTGTGACTCAAAAATCGCCCAACAAAAGCACATCTCAATCTCAGAAAACATAATTTAATAATTGTATTGCGAAGATTTCTTCTTTCGTGCGTGTTTTCTTCACACCTTTGTGTGTGTGTGTGTGTTGTCGCATATCTCTTCGTGTGATAAAAGTGGTGTTGAATCAAAATTTGTCATAATTTCACCTCTTCGCGTAGACAAGGAAAAAAACAAGCTTCACACACTTATCATATTCGCGCTTATTTATTAAGGTAGCCAAGGAACTAATTAAACTCAACGTTAGATTCTATCGCACATGACTCAAACTATAATTGCAAAACTTCCTGCTCAAAATACATTCACACAAACATTCGCGCGGCGACAGAGGGACGTCAAAAAGGCGAGACTGTAAAATTCCTTGATACAAATCAAACGACGCATATTTTATCTTTTTCCTCAAGATTTTCTGTCTCCTGAGAAAATTCCCATTTTTTTCCCCGCCCAGATCCTAATCGAGAGGGTGCAGAATATAACAACACTCTCTTCAACCCATCAACGCCAATGATGGTAATTTGCCACGGTTGCACAGGTGAATATGAATAAATTAAAGCTTCACAGCGATGAAGAGTGTTGATTTTGAAATTTTACAGTTTTCCTATAATGACTCTTGCCAGTCAAACTATACTCAAGATCACTTACTTGAGTGATGCTAAGCAGTAATTTACTCATAATTCCCTATTAACCAGTAAACTTCAGTCATCGCAACCGCAATTTTGCAGAGATTAATCATGTGAGACATTCTAAATTCTAACTTGTACAGAGATTTTCCCACGACTCTGCGCACCAACCCTTTCGCCACCGCCACAGCAAGAAGGAAACTCCGCAGAATTGTGTCACCATCGCAAGTGCCAAGGATTTCAACAATCAATAATCATTATCCGACAGTGTTATGGTAATTAGAACAGACTGAAAGTTAATTCTTGTGTTGAGAATACAAACTTCTCCCGCTTTCTCACTTCATCCAACCATTTTTCAATGCACAATTCCTTCTTGTGGCCTTTTTTTCGCGCACCTTAATTAGCCATGCAACTGACTTCAGCCGCCAGACAAACCACAATGGAGGTGACAAATTCAATTAAATTGTCTCTCGGGATGTATAATTTTTACACCTTTTCTTCCCTCCTCCCCAATTGCGATTATTCTCGCCCCTCCTCGTGACTTTTTTCCCCCTTCCTTCGCTTTATATTATTATCATAAATTGTGTGTGAAATCTCAAGTGTGAGAACGCTTTTTTGTAGGCATTCTAAATGGGCGAATGTGTGTGATTTGATAAATGAATATTAGTCAGCATATTTAAATTAGATTATACCATGGATAAGAATTCCATTTCGTCAGACGGACGCGTACTTAAAGAGGGTCATCAGAATTTTAAACCACATATTTCAGAGCCCGTTTTTCAGTGGTAATCTCAAGTGCTTTCATGCCTTCAATTCTTGCATAACACATTATTGTTATTCACTTTATTGCATTTTCTATTTCAAATTAAAACCACTAAACACTCAAATTAATGGTTTCCTGTTCGCATTACTCACTCCAACAACACTCTCCTGTTTTTTTCTTCTTTGCGCAATTAAAGAAAATCATCTCTCACACCAAAAGTGGTTGTGATTCAATTTTCTGTATAATAAAATGATTTATAGAAAGTTGGCAAACAAGACATCGCAAAAATTACTGTTTTTTCAGCCAATGCTCTTGTTCTTTGTCATGTTTTCTGTTCAATTTTTGTAGTAATTTCTCTCCTTGTCATGACAAGTTGAGACGCATTGAAAAGCAATATAAAATTGCCCTTTTCACAAAGTTTATAATAATACAGAAATAAATTTTTCTCACACAAATAAGAAACATTCAAAAACATGATATTGAAAGTGTGCGCAGCGCAAAGAGTGAAATTTCCGCACTTGGATGCAAACAAAATAATTAAAATTTTACTCACAAAACCCATTACAATATCATGCAGAACAGAAATTTCTTCCGTTTTACCTCCATAACATCAAACACACACACACAGACAAACACAAACAGACACAATTCAGCCCATAAAGTTTAATGGCAGGGAAAAATAAAAACATTCCACCAACTGCACGTTGCATTTTATCAACTTAAACTTGAAGACATTTATAGAAAACAAGTGTAACTTCATTCTCGCGCCCGTGGAAAAATATTCACAACGGTCATTTTAGTAGAAGAAAGAGAAACACTTCTCGAATGAGATCAAGGTTTCACTTTTCAGAGGTATTTCATATTCTTTTCTTCTTCGCCGTTAGCTGTATTTTTATTATTATTATTATTTCCACGCACGGGAAATATTCAAGTTTTATTGTTCAATTTGGATTTTTAATAGTGACAACTCTGGTGTCAGACAAAACAGCGCATTGGACAGGAAAATATAGAAATATACAGAGCTTTCGATGTCAGTTACCCTTTGTTTTCAAAACACTCTTCCTTCAATCACTACGCAAAGCACTTCTGACAAAAACCTCTTTCACGCGCAAGTGTATTCGCGCGATTCACGCCAATTGAGGACAGCACAAAAGTGTCTTGACGAAAACATAGACATTTCCCTGATTTCCCCCTTGATTGATTGTCCAGGCGACAATTTTCTTGTATTCGCGAAGCGGAATTGTCGAATTTTTTTTTTCGGGTAAACATTTAGGTTTTGAGTGTTGTTTCCATAGAACAAAATTCTGATGAAACGCAATTGTGTTCAACAAATCAAGATTCATTAGTGATAGTGAAACTCATTCATTTTCACCATTGGCCAATATCAACCTGACGCGATCACTGAGCGACGTGAAAATGCCGTAGGGACAATTTTGTGTGTCATAAATCAGCCCCTCAGAAGTTTGCATAATACAGTAATTTCAGGGCTGAACGTGCTGAATATTTACCAAATTTCATTGCTGACAGCAACATCATCGTCTTGGCGCGCTTAAAGTCACCGGGTTTCACTGTGATTTTCATCAAACAATTAAATCAACGTTCAATTTGTCTTTAAGATATCTTTCTCTCTCTGTTCAACAACTCCTTCAACTCAACACAAACTCCGCAATTGCTATTCCATTTGCAAATTCCACACACAAGTTGAGAAGGCCAATATTCATTGGTATCGCAAAGAGCGAAAGCAATTTCGGATAAGTGAATTGTTATAGAGAGACTCTCTCATGTGCTGGCAAAATAGACACTTTTGATTCCTTTTTTCAGGCGTCAGTCGCACAAAAAATCATTATGCAAGAAGATTTTAAGTCCTCCTGAATGATCACCACTGATATATATATTTTGCTCTCGTCACAATTGCGCGGCGGCAGCAAATACTGAGATATACTGAAAAAATTGAAAGCGATTCTTTAACCGTGAAATGCCAAGAAGTGACTGTGGCGATCACCATTTGCTCCACCGAGCAATAGTGAAACTCTCCATTGTGGGCTTTTCACAAATACACACAGCCAGACAACCAACAACAATAAAAAAAGAGGCAACCAGAGTGATATAGTGAGGTGAAATACATGCGAATAGACCTAATAGATCATGCACTGCTTTTTTCCCACTGGCCACAACACACAGGGTGTCTGCCATAAAGTGTCCCTCCAGGCGGTTTTTGACAAAAATACTCCAATGATTGGAAGCACAATAATAAATCGTCAAATTGTGCAATAAGACATTTTTATGTAATTTTCATTTCACTAGAAGCTCTCCTAAAAACCACACATATTCTCACCTTTTTCTCCTCCCAATCAAATTAGACAACAGATAAGGTGTTTTTTTTTCTTCTTCTACTTCACTCTCAAACCACCAAACCGCGCGCCTCCCTTCCCAATCCCGCGCCACAGGCAAAGTGGGGGGACAACATCATTAAAAAGTATATGGTACAATTGTTGAAATGTATTAATTAATTGCATTATATATACCCCCTTCACACTCGCATAACGATCTTTCTTTTTCCCATTCAATTCCGCTTAACTCACATATGTGAACACAGGCAACAAGTGATTGAAATGGAATTCATTCGGAAGTAATACCCCGTAATGCCTCAGTTCTTATTTACCTTTTTCAATTGAAATGTGATGGCTTTTTGCCACTCTTTCTCCCCCGTCAAAAATCTCTTATAATACCACACACATGACGTTTAAAATTCGCTTTCACAACAGTCGCGCCACTATCACAATGCGCCTTCGCGCAATTGCGAATCATGCAAAAAAAAACACACACCGCGAGCTCTGAGTAATATTGCAATGGGGGAATATTGAGACGGGAAAAATCAAATGGACTGCTAA